GAAAAGCCTGACGTTGCATGTTGGCAAAATAGATGAGCTGAATGTGATAGCTATATTTCGAATTGAAATTGCGTGATTACACCTTAATCGATCGATACAGAGACCAGGCATCGGTATATCTGATCTATATATAAGGTATGGAGGTAGATACCATTGCTCAGCCCAGTAATGCATACATCAGTAGGAATTAGCTAGACCGTATGACATGAGCACGTAATGCTGAAAGTTTCCGAAATCCTCGTTAAGAATTTCATGTTCACTACTGTGAATTGACTTGTTAAATCGAGTTTGTCATTAATTTTCTAACCTTACCCGTCCCCAAACTCAACAAATACGACTGCGACAATGTCAAATGAAGCAATGTTCATCAAAAATATCAATGTAAGTAATTATTTGTCTATTCACTTGGCAACCTCTGACCCCGAGAGTGGACTCGTCTGGCGCACATCGGTCATGATAATAATAACATATCTTGTCATGTTTCCATTTGCCCGTGTCCTCGCGTTCAGCTAGAAATAGGTATATAGATAGGTTTATAAAATATATATCATGTATTTATAGGGAATGTTTATTGGGGTGAATAAACAGGGTGAATACATTAATTATGAAAAAAATAATAATTGACATCGGTAACTAATTAGGGGCAGGCCATTCAATGTTTTGAGAGAGGGGTGCTGGGTTTTTATCAAAACGCTAAATGATCCCCATGCTTATAGTTGTAATTGCAGCTGTAGCTGAGAAAAATATCTCCATACAAAATCCGCGCCCCCTTAGATAATGCAGAACCAGCAACAATTTGTTTTTGTTTTGTGCGTGCTCAAATTTAATTTTTTTTAAAATACTTTGAATTGTTTAAACTGAACTTGAAGCTGCAATCCCTTGTTATAGTGTACTTTGGTGTTTTTATTTGTAAATAATTACATATAACTCATCAATTTACTTATTAATAGGTGTCGACTTGAAGTTATATACACACATGTGTATAGAGATGCATGTGAACGTATTAATTATTCTTGTATTCCACTATGTTATCAATAAGTTACTTTTGACACACTTGTGAATTTCATCACTTAGAATTGTTAGAGTACATGAAACAGTTTGAGAAAGAGTTTGCCAAGCCAATTACTTTTTATATGCACAATGACATTTGTTTACTATCATTTGTTTACAGAAGCCGAGAAGGAAGGCTGCAACTGAGGTCTCCAAGCCACACACAAGGACATCGTGACCCGTGTAAAAGAATGGCTTCGAGTTCCAGTAGCAATGCTTAGAAATGGCACAAGGAAAACGCTATATGAAAATCAGAGCTGCAGCTAGGGAATCTACAAATGAAAATGCTGAATTCCAAAGGAACATGGTTCAATACATTTTCACTGGACTAAAAATCAAAAGTAGTTTCAGCACTTTGTATGACAAAAAGTTGGTGTTCACAACTTGTGCTTTACAGGGTTATGACCCTTGCTTCATGTTTAGGAACTTGGTACATACTGCCAGGTTTTCTTGGACACGACTGAAGTTACATAAATGAAACCAGCCATCTGAGGGACATTTGTCTTGGCACAAGTCAAAAGTTAGTTTTGAGAATTTATTTTGTATGGGGAATTGGCCTTTGTATCGTGTTGTTTTTTTTTAAATTGATGCACACAGCCTGTGATGGGGAATCATAATTTTTCTTGCGAACTATTGAAGCCAAATAAATGAATTTTTGCAGGCTGATATGAGTGATATATGTTTTGACTGACTTCAAAAACTGTTTCCCACCCGCCTCGTGGCAGGCATTAACACTGTTTCCTTGTCAATAATATCAGAAAGTTTATTGTTCTATTCTGTTTTTAATTATGAGTATTAACTATACATGTATCAGGGTACATAAAAATTGTACTGAAAGCATTTGGATTGTTTTGTACACCTAGAAGTATTCATATTACTTACGGTCGGTTTTCAAGCTCTTGTCTAAGTATTAACCATGATAAAAATGTGATTATCTTTTTTTAAATTCAGTATTATTTAATTTTTCTTTTACTCTTCGTAACTTTAACGTCAGAACTGTTGCTTTGGAAATGCTTAGTTTGATGTGCCCTTCCACTACACTTGGAAATGCTTAGTTTGATGTGCCCTTCCACTGCACTTGGAAATGCTTAGTTTGATGTGCCCTTCCACTACACATGGAAATGCTTAGTTTGATGTGCCCTTCCACTGCACTTGGAAATGCTTAGTTTGATGTGCCCTTCCACTACACTTCGAAATGCTTAGTTTGATGTGCCCTTCCACTACACTAGGAAATGCTTAGTTTGATGTGCCCTTCCACTACACTTGGAAATGCTTAGTTTGATGTGCCCTTCCACTACACTTGGAAATGCTTAGTTTGATGTGCCCTTCCACTACACTTGGAAATGCTTAGTTTGATGTGCCCTTCCGCTGCACTTGGAAATGCTTAGTTTGATGTGCCCTTCCACTACACTTCGAAATGCTTAGTTTGATGTGCCCTTCCACTACACGTGGAAATGCTTAGTTTGATGTGCCCTTCCACTACACTTGGAAATGCTTAGTTTGATGTGCCCTTCCACTGCACTTGGAAAAGTTCTGTCGTATGAAATATTAAGAGATGTTGTCAGTAATGACAACTGCAGGCAACTACACCACAGAACATTAGCTTATGAGGCAATCTCAGCAGAAGAAACAAATGAAGTGTTAGGAAATTATGAAAGTTTAGATCTTTTGGACTATTTTTGAAGATATTGATAATTCTAAAAGATGATAGCAAGTTGTCAACCATTTGTTTCAGAATTTGTGCATACATTAGGAAGAAAATCAAAAATTGCCATCAAATATAATGAATGGTAACAATACTGAACATCCCAGCTGTCATTGTAAATGAGCATAGAATAGAAAAGGTGATGAAGTCTGAATGACCAATGCTTGGGTAATGACAAGACTGGAGGGATTGGACAAGGCTGATTCTAAACCTATAATAACTGTCGGGTCATTGTCAACCCAATGCTGCGCCGATAATTATTGTCGACGTTGGACCGATGACAATCCGATGTTGTGCTGATAAATATTGCTGATGTCGGGACGGCGCTGGGCCGATAACTATTTCCGTCGTTTGGCCGACTATGTAGCCGACGCTGGGCTGAAGTTTTACCGCTTAGTGTATTATGACAGCGTCAGTTAATACAGTGTCGGCATGTTCAAAGGACGGTTAGTCAATTTAGGCCTTCTGATGATTGGGGGTTAATTATTTCTTCTTTAAACTGGTGATCCTCACTGACCAACGTACCCACGTTTGCTACTGTAGATGTACGAAGGATTACCTCTTAACCCTACTTTATGACGAAGGTCGTTCGTTTTTTTATGGACGAGGTTTCCCGCAGTTTGTCAACACAACTTAAGAACTGTTCGAAACGCACGTAAAAGACTCATAAGTGTGAATAGACACTCTCAAGTGAACATTGCGGAAAGACTGATTTTAGCACTGTATCACGCCCTCCCTCATTTTATGTAAATGTTGGGGCCATTTTCCCTTAACTGTCTCGTGCCAATTTTGCATGGGGCCGTTTTCTCCTGCACCTTGATTTGCAAAAAAAAACGAACGAAGAGTCGATCGGCTACAATGTACTGATAAGCTACATTAAATTAAGACTATTAAAGTAAATTATAATTTTCAGATAAAATTCCCCTGTTAAACTGTTACAGTCTTCAACTGCCAATTCATGTATGCTGCATGCAGTTCTGCATGAAAGCACCTGTTATACGTTGCTATGGAAACATCTTGTTGACCTCAAGGGTGAGTAACTCTTTATTCGTTGCGTTGTCTTGACGGATGAACTATTGTCACATAATGACATGTAAATAATCACGGGAAGGTAACTTGAATTTTATGGTGAGGTGGCCGTATTTCACAGCAGTATCTATAGCAGGTGAGTCTGATTAACAAAAAAATAATATGCAACAGCAGTCAAATGTAAACAATCAACGATCGATGTTTACACAACCAGCAACATTGTGTTATTGACGACAGTGCTGACTAAAATTGCTACAAGCCTAAACGGCCACGAAATTATATGAAAAACGGCCCCATAAAAAAACGACAATTAATATGATAGAAATTAATGAGTTTGTATTTCTTCCCCTGTGATAATTTTTTTTGTTTACATTTATAAGAAATTCAGGTATATTAGTTTGCACATTTGTAATTCAGAAATAATGTGGATATATTTACATCAATATTATTTAAAGTCGTAATAATAAATGCAAAAATATTATATATGTATTTAGATTAAAAACATTATAATTTATACATTGTAGAGAAATAAAAAGTCATACATAAGATATATAACCGCCTCCGGGGGTTCAATCCCCAGCCTTGTCATACCAAAAGACACGAAGATGGCACTTGTTGTTACTCTGCCTGGTGTTTGGCTTTAAGGGGCTAACACAAGGACTGGTCGGCTCTGTGTCAGTATACTGTGTCTGATTCATGTTCAACTGCGGCATGCTTTCTCGGTGGGCAAGCACTATAAAATTAGCATTAGTCCGGACTTGTACAAGCAGTCACACACACACACGCAAGCACGCATGTCGCTTTATAAGTGCAATAATCTTGGAAGGGATGTTAAACCCAATTTCACCTCACCTGTAAGTTATACACTCACAGATTTATTTTTTTATGAATAATTTATCTTGTACATTTTCAAAGTAAATTATTTCATTTCATTTTCATTGTTTCATGACAAATTGTAACAGTGGTTTCAAAATATTATTATATGTCTTTGATCTTCTACAGTGGAGACAGGTTATTACAATGCTTAGAGTGTAATGATTTCCCACATGCGTAAGCCCATTTCTGGTGTCGCCCGCCACACTATTTCTGGAATATTGCTAAAAGCAGCGTAAAACCCAACTCAGTCAATCACTCACCCACTCTGAAATATTAGTACTGCTCAAAGCAATGTTAATCCCCACTCACTCACTCACTCTCATTTTGGTCAGTTCGTAGAATGGGCTGTGGGTCCTCTGAATACGCCAACTTGGAAGACATCAGATCTACCTCGTCAAACACTGTCAACAAGCCCACAATTAGCATTGAAGCAGCTCCAGACATGATCTCGACACACACAACAGTGAACTCTAGTCAAAACACCCCTGGGCTAGACAACAAGACCTCCTCAACATCGGGCTCCAAATGCACTGGCGAGGATCCAAATTCTACAAAGGAGGTTGAAAATTCCAAAGACCAAAGTGACGAAAGTTTATCAAAGACAACAAAATGGCAGACAGTTAATGTTGAAGAGTTGATGAGGAGTCTGAACATCAGCATTGACGATGAAACTGTCAAGTGGTGGGATCTGGTCGATCATCTTGTTGTCAGGGATACCCCGGTGATCAAGCCCCACTTAAAGGTGAGTTCATTTGAGTTTGCCAGGAGGTAGTGATGGGTGAGTGAGTTAGGTTTAACACCACTTTTAACAGTATTCCAGTTATATTGTGGCGTGTCAGCTTAATGTGGGAGGAAAGCCCGAAGTGATGCAGGTCTCAGATGTTTACCACTTCGGTGAAACAAGCGAGCACGGGTATGGTGCTGACAAACCTAGAAACATTATCAGGGCGAACCAGGATTGAAACCCACAATCATAGGTTTCTGGCATGCCCAAGGGATGCAACTCTGCACAGCAAATCACAGCGCCTTAGATGGCTGGGCCACCCGTGACCCCAGAGGTAGTGATGGCTGGAGATGGTGAATAAATAATTGACTGAACATTTATATGAAAAGCTTGTTATTTATGCTTCCAAAAATGTTGAGGGAAAAAATCAGCCTCAGGTTTTACTGTAAAAAATGCTCACTGAACATGCTTGGATGCCTTATAAAATGTGTTGTGGTTCCCCCAAAATGTTTGGCTTCTTTCAGAGCAAAAAAAGAATATTTCGAAGCATTGACCAAAAAAATCCTGTTTAAAAATAATTAAAATCCAATGATTGTTACGGAATTGTTCGTGATTGGTCCCTTTTAAGCATATTAACCAGGGTTTAACTCGACAGAAAAATATTGAATCCTAGTGAAAAAAAATTATATGACATTTTATTTTTGTTATTACAAGTGTAGTTAGTTTACACAATTTTTGGCCTCATTCAATGTAGGTTGTGGAAAAAATGCATTTAAAAAATTTAACTTTCAGATTAGTACTGCTACTAATGAACAAAAAAAACTCGTTGGTCACACAGTCAGGAAAGTATGATTGCAAAATAATACGAAAAGACATTTCATTGTTGTTTTATGTTAGAGAGAAGATCTCTATTGGTATTATTCACCATTTCTTTCAAACAGTGGTGATAAAATCTCATGGGTTTTTTCTGCCATATCTTTACAGCGGAAGACATGGAAGACAATTCGTCTTTTCATCAGCTCAACGTTCAAGGACATGAGTTCGGAGAGAGAGGTCCTGGTGAAGGGGGTAGTTCCAGCACTGAGGCAGTGGTGTACAGAGAGGCGCCTCCGCCTCGTGGAATGTGACCTCCGATGGGGCGTACCCAAAGATTCAGACACCAGGGAAACTTTCCTTGCCTGCTTGTCAGAGATAGACAGGTAGCGTGCATGTATCTATCTTAGATATAATATTTGCCTGATCTATACCAGGTGTCACATTTTACTGGTTCACTGTTTGTATGTTTGGTTGTTTATCGCATCACTCAGCATTTTTGCAGCAGTAATATTATCATTACTTCTTGAGGAATTAACTGTCTGATTGCACTTACTCAAGAAATATTAGTAATGAGTTTATTGATAATGTGCTAACAGCATTCAAATTCACGCTAGTGTGCCAGCCTTTGGAGGGCAAATAAAAATCCAATGATGCTAGTCCTCATTTACTAGTAGCTTTGAGGGCTTTAATCCTGAATCAGATCTCAATTGTTCAATATTGCTACAAATAGGAACTGATTATAACTGATAGAAACATAGTTTACAACATTAGAAATTGGTACTGGTCCTGTAGTCCTTGCCAAACTGCTCAGTAGTTATGATAAGGACTAGTAGAAATTTGTTATTTTTGAGGGTTTTGCTTTCATGATAAGGACGAGTGGACTAAAACTGTTAGTTTCTACCCTTGTAGTTCACAGTTTTGTCTCAGGACTAGCTCAAACTCTGAGGACTTGGGAAATAAGGTTTCCACTAGTTCTCTGGACTAGTTTAAAAAACACAAATTTCTAAGGCTGCGCTATATTCAACACACTAGTATAGTGCTACACAATCTTACCTTGGTTACTGGATCAGTCTGTCTTGATTATCACTCTCAGCACACTAGAGAGTATACAACAAGAAGTTAACAGTCACATTACTATCTCATCCTACTGGGTACCCATTTGCTGCTGGGTGAACATTGGTATATTCCGACCAAAATCACCTGCCTAAAGAGACACCACATGTAACGTGCAGGACCAAAGCCCGAGCACCTCTCAGGAGTCAAGCTGCTTAACACACCCATCCACCTACTCTCCGTGCCCAACACTGATTGACCTGTGACCTGTGACCGGTACACAGAACAATGTGCCACCACATGAAACAAGAGAGGAGGTGTTGGACAAGAGATTGTGTATGTGGCGTGGAAGGTGCCTGGGAATTGTTTGTCCATGTGGTGGCCCAGTGGGGAATCCCAGTTTGAATTGGTCCAAAGGAACCCATGTTTACAGTGAGAGTAAATGGGCCCGGTAGTCCGACTTGGGGTTTGGCTGACCTGAGTGTCATCATACCCCGGTGCAGGTGGACATTGCTCACAATATCAATCACTGGTTTGTTTGGTCCAGACTCATTACTTATAGTCTCCCATGCAATTGATATGTTGCTGACTCTAAAACAACAACAGTCAAACAAAACAACAGTCACAACAAAGCAACAGTCAAACAAAACAACAATAAAACAAAACAACGGTCAAACAAAACAACGGTCAAACAAAACAACAGTCAAACAAACAAGTCAAACAATACAACGGTCAAACAAAACATGTTACAGTCAAACAAAACAACAGTCAAGCAATGTTAAGCATGAACTGTAAATGTTGGACAAGATCATCTCAAAATCTGGCATTGCCATTAAGAATACATAATACATATACCATGTATATGATAGTAACATGACCCTAATCTTTGACTGTGGTGTTGAAAACAAGGTTCAGTTATAAATACACTTATTTGTATATATACTGTAAAACGTGAAATTAATGCGTCTCAATATGAATGCGACACCCCCTCCTCTCAAGCATCAGTGGATTTATATCTAAACAAAATGTCCTCTGTCAGGTTTACAGGAGAATCCTCACCTTAATCCAACCTTACAATAATCCAATCACACACCAAATAGCACTGCTTATTAGCGCTGCGTAGAGTACTTCCGCTAAAACAATACGTGCGCGCTGGCTCGTGTCGGCCTTTGATGCAGTCGCAAAGAGCAAAGACACCGTGTTGGGTGGCGTCTGTCTAGACTTGCAGGTGTGATCAGTGATGACATGAGTGAGTAGAACGCTTGTCTTGAACCCCAGAAGTGACAATTCACAGGATGTAATTAGTGTTTGAATGACATTGTTTATATACTTCTTACAAGTGCTGCTCAATAAACATTGATGTGGAATACATACTTGTTTGTTTTCAGCGTATGTCTATGTTGGTATTTCTGCTATCCAAAATGTCTTATTTTTTGGTTGATATAAATGCGATGTTTAATAATGCGAGCAAAGACCACTCGCATTTTTCGCATTTTATTCACGCTTGCGTTAATTTCACGTTTTACAGTATATATAAACCGTCCACTAAATCGTATTGTGGAGGCAAATTGAACTTACTACATCGTCTGTTTTCTTGTAGATGTCGAGATCAAAATGAGTATCCCTACTTCCTGAACATGTTGTCAGAGCGCTACGGGAGTGTCATGAAGCCAGAGGAGGTCCCAGAAGACATCAAAATCAGGTGGGACGAGGAACATAGCTGATGTCCTTTTGTGTCAGGCAATCCCCAGACAGGGCAGTCACCAGAAGCCAAGGGATAAATGGATGTGTGCCACATTTATTTCAAGATTAGGGGCGGTCTGGTAGCCCAGTGGTTAAAGCAATCGCTTAATCGTTAAAGACCCGGGTTCCATTCCTCACATGGGTACAATGTGTGAATCCCATTTCTGGTGTCCCCGGCAGTGATATTGCTTGATATTGCTAAAAGCGGTGTAAAACTATTCTCACTCACTCACTATTTCAAGATTACAGTCTGTCTAACTAGGAGATATGGCTTGATCTCAACAGGCGATATCTCCTGTGGACGGCAGTTTTGGATAATACATGTAATATCTCCTTCAGATACAAATGGCTGCCGGGGATGTCAGTGACGGCACTGGAAGTCTTCACAGGAGTGTACTGGGAGAGAAACCCCAATGTAAGATGAGGAACTCTGTCTAGCTTCAGCATCTCAGTACATCTCTGTGACATCCGTGTATTTGTTTACATGTTGGACTTGAGACTAAATATAAAGCAACATGTGTGATATGTTTACATGTGAAATGAAAGCAGATGTTGATAGGGGAATAGTCACACAGTTTCAGAATGCTTGTGAGCTGTGTGGTTTTTTTTTGACAACTTTGATATGTGTAGAGTAATGGTAGTTATGTAACATACCCTAAGAATTAATGTGGACTGTTATGTAGCAGGGTTAGGAAGAATCACTGACACATTGAATCGTCATGTTTTGATCGATGGGGTAGCCTAGTGGTTAAAGCGTCTGCTTGTCAAGCCGAAGACCCGGGTTTAATTTTCCTCATGATATTGCTGAAAACTCTCTTACGTTTTAAGTTATCATATCAGTCAACATGTATGTCATGGTGGAGTTGGATTCCCAAGCTATATGGTGTTTTACAGGCATTGTTCATGATGCGGCAGCCAGGCTTCTTGAATGGCGTGACCGATGAAAACATCCGCAAGGTCTACCAGGAGTCGGATCCTGGAACAGCCGAGTCTCTGCGGGTCCTCAAAGGTGATTATGGCAATGTAAACTAAGTATTTATTAAATGTATAGCCGGTATAAAAATACCATGTCCTGTGTGGGATTAAATAAACACGGATCTTCTGATCCGAAGTTGGATGCCTTAACTACATGACCAAAGAGGTCAAGGATGTTGTCTGTGGGTTAACTCCACGCCTGCTACATACTCCGTTAATAGAAGGCGGGTCCAGAAGTCCATTGCATGAATCAGAAATGTCGCAAGGCCTATGTTGCCCTCAGGGAGCACATGCATTAGTGCCACACACATGCGTAGGGTGTCATTCCTGATTTTGACACTTTTAAGGAAAGGTTGATTAATATCTGTGGCCCATTATTTCTGTCAATCTTATTGACACTGTACAGTTGTGATTTACTTGAGTTCATTCATATAAGTTTGTGCATGAACTGGCAATGCGGCATCTGCAATAGGCGGAGATTCTACCGGCTATTGGCATGCTGGAAACTGACAGAAGTCAGCATGCAGTGGCCAATCTGTTCAATGTTTCCCAGTTTGGAACAGGTACCAACAAACCCAAACTGTTGATGATAAACCTGTTCAGGGCATCCCAGATCAGTGACAAGTACAAGATCAGCTGATCTGGAACCAGGCTCTATGAACTTGAGCTGAAACAGCAAATTAAATTACTGCAAACTTTCCTATGGCTACTGGTGTATAATTCAGATGGATCAGATGATTAGGAATTGACTACATGCAGCTCCTCTCTAAGTGAATGAATGTTGTGAATCGTGGCGATATTACACACTACTGATCCAAAAACGTCAACTTTGACATTTCCCATCTTACCCCTATCATCCTTCCAGATTGTTGCATTCATAACATCTACTGTCATAGGTCACTACCAATCAAGACCTCCTCCGTGGTCTAATGGTAGAGCGTCCGCCTGGAGAGCGGAAGGTCCGGGGTTCGATCCCCGGCCGCGTCATACCAAAAGACTTTAAAAGATGGTACTTGTTGTTACCCTGTCTGGCGCTCGGCATTAAGGGGCTAAAACAAGGACTGGTCGTCTCGGAGTCAGTATACTGTGTCTGAGTGGGGTATTCATGTTAAACTGCGGCATGGTATCTCAGTGTGCTAGCACTATAAATCGGCATCAGTCCGGACTAGTACAAGCAGCCACACACACGCTTATACACATGCATGCACGTCGCTATATAAGTGCAATAATCTTGTCGCGACGTTAAACCCCATTTCACATTACCTCACTACCAGTCAATACACGTTCATTTTTATCATACAACTGTTACTAGAAACTAATAACTAACAATTTTGGAAATTTTAAGTTGTTTCCGCGTATCCCCGACTTCTTTTTAAGAGTATATGAAGTTTTGGATCTGCCTGGTGTTACATCTCTGCTTCTCTGTGCTAGGCAAGATCAGGGAGAAGTACGGAGACAGGACACACGACTATAGCTGCCATGTGGAGAACACGGAAAACGGCAAGCTGGTACTTGGGGGACTAGAAGACTTCATTGTGAAGGTCCACGACCATTTCAAGGTAAGAAGAAGAATGATACCGAGTGATAAAGTTCATTATTAATGTGCTAGATTCCACTCTCAAAGTTAATGCTCAAGACACTGAATTATTATAGTTGATGGTTGGGAAATTAAGCAGTAACATCTTCACAACACACTAGTAGCATTCTGTTTGATACAAATCAGACCGAACCATTCATAAATTCATGCCAAAAACTTAAGTTTCAGTTACAAAATTTGAAGTCTAATTTCAAAATTAATGGTATCAAAAATATCTGGAAACCATTTCATAAAACAACGTGTGAGTAGTTATGAACTTGTTTAGTTGTAATATCATATGAATAGTTCAAATGTTATGGGTTACTTAGCAGCAAATGAAACTTTGGCATTTTATTACCTGGATAATGTTATATTATCTAATTCATAGCATTTTTAATATCGCTGAGCCTAATAATCACTTTTACGAGAGAGAAAAAACACAAATTGTTTCCCTGTGTGACCAAGACCTGTGATACATGCTCACTGACTAGAATGAGATACAGCTACAAAGAAGACTGTTTATAAGTTTACCAGTTCTCCATGAAGTGTGAGGACGTGTTCTCACATAAATGTTATTTAAAAAATGGTATTCCTGGCACAAAAAAATCCCAATGCAGAATAGAAATGTTATATTTGAATATTTTTTATTCTACAATTATATATTATTTTACAAAAACAAACAAAATGTCAAAAAGTATTTCATTTCTTTTATTTTATTTTATAGGCTATTATATTATTTAATTAGGCTATTTAGACTACTCACTCACTCACTTGCTCCCCAGGCGTGTATTGAGAGGCAGTACCCCTTTGACTCCCAGCAGCAGCAGATGACAGAGGTGGAAGTGGCATATGCTGAACAAGAAGACTTCCTCCTCCTCAGATCACAGGTAATGATGACAATAATCATAATCACAATCATAATCATAATAAACCTTCATTGTTTAGAATTTTGAGGTCTTCTCACTGTAAATTCAGAGGTTAATTTAGAGGTATCAAATATAATTTGATACCCGATTCTAATTTTGTTTTGATCAGAGTTCTATCAGAATCAAGCAATCTTCAATGGTATAGCAGAAAATAATTAAATTATACAGTGCCTAGTTTCCATCATATGGTGTTAAACGGCACTCACAATATATACAATAGATACAAAACAAGTGTATACAGCTTGGAAATATAAATCAGCAAAAATATAATGTCAATGTCATGTAATTACTATTTTCATCTCTGTGGATACTAAAGAAATGTACCCTAGCTTACCACTGCATAGCTCTTTACGAAACAGTCTCCCTGGCTAGGGAATTGCTGTTAGATATGAAAGTGTTGTCATTATATATAATAGATGTTTTTAGAACAGTTGGATGTGGAATTTAATGGTTCCCTGTACCAGAGAATGGCATAGTCCAGTTGCTCCAGTGCTGTATAGTGACCAGCTAATGTGCATGTTCTATATTCTGATCTTTGCCAAGGTAGATTTCTGTGTACAGAAAAATGCTTTTGGTACAGCATTTAGGCTATTGAACCAGGTGAGCTACAGTCGAATGTCTCTATTTTATCACGTCCCAATGAAGTGGCTTTCAAAGATATGTTCTTGTTGATTGTTGCCAGGGTTTGAAAGGCCGTGATGACATAGTTGATAAAATATCCAACTACATCAACAGCAGCGTTGACAGCACCTGCATCATATACTTGGCGGGGTCAGCAGGGGCAGGGAAGAGCTCCCTGATGGCAGCCTCAGCAAAGAAGGCCATTGAGAATGACAAGTTCAAGGTTGGTTGTATGCTTATCTTGCCTGAGCTGAAACCTTCATGCTAGGATCTGTCCATTTGATTAGGTACCACCTCTGTGGTCCAGTGGATAGAGCATCTGCCTGGAGAGAAGGTCAGTGGTCGAATCCCCTTCATCATACCTACAATGGTACATGTTGTTACCCTGCCTGGCTCATTTCGGGGGCAGGCGCTTTGGTGCTGATTTTGATGACTTGCATGTTCTTCTGTTTAGGTGTTCTTCCATTTTGTTGGTGCTACTCCAGACTCCACCAACTCGTACAGTGTCCTATCAAGGATGTTCCACGAGTGCATGCCCCCGAACACCGTGCCTCCTATTGACCCAGACGAGATGATGAGATACACAAAAACCATGTTTGAGAAGTCAACAGAATATGTCCTTGATCAGGGATATGAAAAACTTGTGGTTTATATTGATGCTCTGAATCAAATGGATGATGAAGGTAAATCCTTGTCTACATGGGGATATCTGTAGCAGAGATTTATCGAGACCTGCTCCGAGGCTGATATTCAGACCCAAGTCTGCAGCAAGCGTCATTAAAATTTCCCAAAATGGAATGAAAAGTTTCCCAATTTATGTTAAAATAAAGAAGAAATAATGAGTTTTATGGTTTTGTAGAAATAACCTGCAAAGAGGTTGAGTCCAATGTTCAGAGTATGTTGTCAATCTGAATTGGTGAAACACAGAAATAGCTTTAATTATATCAAACATAATTTTTTACAGTTGTGGCCAAATGTTCTTGTCTTTGGTTCAGCCAAAAATGACATGTTGATGTGCAAGTAAGTTAGAGTTACTTGCCCTTGGTTAAAATTTCCTGAAAATTAAAAAAGCCTGACAAGAGGGGTTGAAAATGATACAGACATGGTCAGAAACATAATAGCCTTTTTTTCGCCTGATATACATCACTCGCAAATATATATGATAGGCATTGCGAGTAAAGCATAGCTACGTGTTCAGTTCCAAATTCAATTGGACATGGTTAAATATACAGATAATCTAGCTTCACATTGACAACAGAGCATGTTTGTCTTCTTAGTGCCTGCCATAATTGGGGAAAAGGTTCCTCTCTTTAACATTTAGCCTTCAAATGACCTATATTAATAAGAGGTAGTTACTGTGATTTGCATCTTCCTGAGGCAAGGGCGTTAACTGACTATAAAAGTCTAGTTTCCGACCATGCCGAACTAGGCTGGAATTATGTAGTTATATTTTGGCAGACCTAATGAGTCTATGCATAGTCAAGACAAAATCTTGTAATGAAACTGCCGTTCAGATTTGCAGGATTAACAAAGCATGTGTACCGCCAACTCTGTGTCAACAGATATTTTTCAAATATTTTCATGTTTTTAATCAAGGTTCTCACATGATTTGATTCCCTTTACAAAGTAAGACCCGTTTTATCTCAATATAGATGTTGATTATTAATTAGATCATCTTGACAGGGCGCCGCCATTTTGGTTGAAGTAAATGCAAGTGATATGAGAGGTGGAATTTGATTGCCCAATAGGAGAGACATAGAAGGGACATGACTTGTAATAGCCACTGGTGGCTCTACATCAAGCCCAGAAATTCCAGCCTAGTTCAGCAAGGGTGGAAAATGGACTTTTATAGTCAGTGAACTCCCTTGCCTCGATGATGTGTAATTTGAAACCTTTGATTGTCCATTCAGAAAAGGTTATTTTTTAAAGTCATGGTGGTAAAGTGGTTTGTGTATCTTTAAACTCAAACACGTCAACATTTCACAACCAGGGATGGCTCACAAACTTGGATGGCTGCCCCGAAAACTTCCAAAGGGGATGCGCCTCATTGTCAGCACACTAGAGGGCACCACACTAGAGTCCATGAGGTCACATGAGGTCCAGTGTAACGAGGTGACAGTGGACCCACTGAACAGAGACTACAGGACCAACATAGTTGGTGAATATCTTGCTGAATACAACAAGTTGCTGGACAAGGAGCAGGTAGGTCCAGCAGTGGATCAGATGAACTCAGAGCATGACCAACGGCTCTCATCCAGTAGGCACAACAATGTTAACTCAATGTTGGAACAATGTCAGATTTCAACATACTTTCAACATCAAAAGGCCAGTGTTGAATCAATGTTGAAAACAATACCAGATTTCAACATATTTTCTACATCAAAATGCCAGTGTTGAATCAGTGTTTAAAACAATGTCACATATTTTCAAGTATCGAAAGGATAATGTTGATTCACTATTGATTTCAACATATGTTGAATCAATGTTAAATAATGTGACATTTCAACAATTTTGCAAATATCAAAAGGGCATTGTTGAAATAATCTTGATACAATGTTTCTGACGTAGCAACCGCAGATCAACCAAATTTCAACGTTGAAACAATGTCATGTGCTTGCTGGGCGCCCAGTGTGTGTCACTTTGGTGGGGGCAGGGGTGACCAAGTCGTCCATGGCGCCGCAATTCGCTGTGCAGAGTTGAGTGCCTTGGGCATGCCAGAATGATCGTGCGTTCGAATCCCAGTTATACAGAAGAACTCTAGACAGTACTTAAATGGGATCAAAACTCTACTTTAGAAGGAGCAGTTGAGAGAAGAATTTACATTCAAGTCTCGTTAATCCGACACACGTTAATCTGAAAATCGGCTTTGCGGTACCAGTTTCAAACTTGCGACTTCCATTCCAGACTTTGCTTTTTAAAGTATTTTGAATAAGTCATACAGTCCGTAACAGTTGTTTTGTTTAGAGCTTTAGTCTGCTAACAATGTAACATAACAAAATGTATCGTTATCAACAGAATTTCTCTCACACACGAATTTGAAAGAATGGGATGACTATGTTATGAGTGAGAACAGACTTAAACTGATGGTATGGTAATGGATGGATATAGGATATTTATCATCAAAAATAGGGATGGGATATACTGGATTATGGAGGATGGTTTGATCCTTCCATCCATCTGTCCAACTTCAAAGCGGCCATATTTTCATACATCATTGAGTGATAGAGTATGTAGATCAAGCTTGAAATGTTTACAGTCATGGACCCTATTTGATCTTTGGACATGGCCTGTAGTACCATCAATGGGGACATGTTTTCTTGGAAACTATAATAAATGACGTTTTGGATGTTAAAGATAAAACACGACTTCGAAGTTTTGGTTAAAAAGGTTAAACCTTGAGCTTGGGAAATGCCAGAGCGCTTTACCGAGCTTGAGGTTTTTACATTTTCAACCATAACCGGGTAGGAGTGTTTTATCCAACCAAAGAATCGTCTAAAGGCAAGAAATACCAGAAAAAATAAGAAAACATTGGGATACCTTATAGTAAAACAATACAATAACAATCGCGGTATCAAAGGAATTTGATCAAAGCAAGAGAGAGAAAGACCAAGTGCAACATGCACACAACTGAAGTTATGACATGTAAAATTGAACAACCTTCATCACCTCCCCCAGTGGCTCAGTGGAAAAACAGTGGGCTACAAAACTAAACATGATATGTGAGATTACAGGTTCGATGCACGTCATGGAATTTTCATGTGAAGAAAAGTGTGACTTAACCAATCATGAATCAACATTATATTCTGATTAAAAGGGCAGTTTATAACATTTCAATTGTAAAACCTAGGTCTTACAATTCAAATGTAAACTCTCAAAGCAGGTTTATATAATGTCAATTGTAAAACCTAGGTCTTACAATTCAAATGTAAAACCTCTGAGCAGGTCTTACTTAAAAGTACTACCTCTCACAAGGTTACTGTGAGATAGGAAGATACCTACAATACAAGAGTGGCAGTTGGTTAATAAACATAATTACGTGATAATATGTTATTAGGTTTGAAATCCACCATCGAGAATACATGTTTGTGTTATGTGTTTCTAATTTTTCCCCATCCAATCAGAGTTTGTTTAAGCATACAAGGATAACGGAATATATGATTTACCCTTTACACGAACACCTGGTGTCTTCATTGATTTTCAGTGGTCCATTCATATATTTTCCACAGCTATTTGCCCTTTATGCCAAACGGAATCTGTTTCGGCAGATAATCAACAGTATGTATTCTTTTGCAATGACATTGTTTCTTCTTTTCATATGTGGTCCTGACATCACAGTGATGTACATGCTGCTTTTTAGCAGAGATTTTTTAGGATTTTGGAAATAATTTTGTTGCTTTAATTTGTTCAGATGCAACTGTTGGTGACCAAGGAAGATGCAGGACGGCCATTATATCTCGCCATCTCGTGTGAAGAGCTCCGAGTGTTTGGGGAGTTCCGGAAACTCACAAGTAAAATACAGAGTCTCCCTGGTGACCTGTCTGGTGTTATTGAAATTGTGAGTGTGAAGGTGTGGCTGTTATGTGTACATTGTCAATACAACTTACATGCAATTGTCTTACAATGCTCTGTCTACTCTGATCTAATAACTAGAAAAAGGGTTGAAAATATCTCATACATATCAATGTTCAATACGAATTCTACCATGAATTTGGAATTTACTCGATTCTGATTGGTCAATCAGAGGCTATTAAATCACAATAAACCCCCTCTGATTGAAACAGCTGGTTTGACGGCCGCATCACCGCGGAAGCTAATATTCATAGAATAGTACTATTTTCAGTCATTGTCGGTAGGCATATTTAAATAACTATATCTACAATTACAGGTTACAAAATGCACATATGCGGTTACTACAATATTCAAAGGATGTGTGGCAATACATTTCGTGCAGAAAAACACGACAGAAATCAACAAAGGGAATGTATTTACGTTTTGGAGACAACAGAGAGCTTGAAATTTTGGCGCTTTTCTATATACGACTGTGAGCGATATGACGTCATAATGGTGACGTGAGATGTAGAGCGAAAGACTTGCAAAGCTTGCTTTGTTTTCTTAGGGATGGCCACCTCATGTTAGCTTACCAAGTTGCCGTGCTTATATGCTTTAAATGCCTGTCATATGTTCGAGTGAAGTATTACGGAGTAAAAAAACTGCTTGAGTATATACAGCACCATATTTTGTTCGGTGATTCCGTAATTCAGATCGATAACCCAGTCAAAACACTGAACTCAACCCATGCCGCTTCACTCAGTATATTTGCTAACACCAAAGAGTTCGCGTTTTATTTAGTCATGGTAGAATGGAGATAAACATACTGTGTTTTCAATGTAGAGCTAGGTTACCTGTAGATTTAACCGCGCTAAATTTAACATTTGAAACCTCACGGTGCGCGTTCAGTTCCAAATTCAATTTAGCGGGGTTAAATCTACAGGTAACCTAGCTCTACATTGAAAACACAGTATGTTTATCTCCTAATTAACGCTGAGTCAGTTCTTTAACAATGACATATGACAAATCGTAGCGCTAAGATAGCTTTGTGGGACAGGGTCCTTTTGATTGTTTTTGACACATTGATCAGTCATCAAGGTCACTATCAAGGTCATAGCCTCAAAATAGGTTGTTAAATGCCCAACATGAGAAACATATACTGTAGGTCAATTATATTTACAACGTTGCCGGTTTAGGCCAGAGCTACAACGGGAAGAGGTCATGAGTGACTTATTGATTAGGTCAAGGTCAAAGTGAGGGTGATTCATTAGAAGATTTGCTATTTTCCCTCAAATGTTTTTTCCTGCAGAATTTTTTAAGCCTTTTGCATGAAGTGGTCATTTGCAATATTTTTATGTTAACTCAAGAAGTGTTCACTGTATGTAATAAAAAGAAATTTGGAACATATCGCCCTTATGTTGAAGTGGTAAGGTTTTGAATGGCCTTCATAAAAAGGTCAAGGCCACTGGAATGGTCACTTAATGTAGTTCTGCCTTTTAGAGCACTCAACCAAATTCTTGTTGTGTGACACATGTTTGTAAAAGCTAACAGCCATGTTTTCAACAAGAAATAATCTAGAATATGAGGATCAAGGTCATTAAACCAGAAGTGCACAGAGCTGTCTTGTTAGCATATCTCAAGGCATGAATCTATTGAAGATGTCATTTGTTCATAAATCAGTGGTGAACTACAGGTGTTAAAACAGGCTATGGAAACAGGTATAGTTATTATAAATTACCTATTTTCCACACCTCTGTATTTCAGGTGTTGAAACACATTATATAGAACATAGATAAGGTATAATTGTTCTATGTGCCCTGTTTTACATGTCACCTGTATTCCAGGTGTTAAACCGCATCATTAAGGAGTATGGTGGAGACAAGGTCCTGTCCACACTGTGTCTCATCGAGACATCAAGGTTCGGCCTGTCTGAGGCTGAGCTGGTGCAACTCCTGGCAGTGGAGCCTCTCATCCCGAGCAGCAGCAGCAGCAACACTGACACCATCCAGTTTACTGGGCAGAAGATTCACATGGCAGAGGTAGTGTATGTCTACAAGGATTTATCTTCAACACATAATTCAATAATGATACTTATAATCTAAATTTGGAAATCTTGTAAGTCTAGTTTCCACCCTTGCCGAACTAGGCTGCAATTATGGAGTTATATTTTGGCTGGACAAACGAGTCTATGCATAGTCCAATCAAAATTGTGTAACAAGATCGATATCTGGTTTGTAAAACTGCTGTGCAGATTTCTGTCGATTGCAAGATTTGCAGAGCATGTGTACCGTCAACTGTGCGTTGACAGATATTTTGTAAATGTTTTCATGTATTTAATCAAGGTGCTCACGTGATTTGATGCACTTCCCGAGGTTGTGGTACAATATAGATTTTTATTAGCAATCAGACTGGACTCCTCCATTTTGTTTGAAGCAAATGCAAGTGATATGAGAGGTGGAATCTGATTGGTCAGTAGGAGGGACACAGAAGGAAAATAACTCATAATGGCCACTTGTGGTGCTACGATCGAGCCCAGAAACTCCTGACTTTCATATGCATGACCAGATCGTTTTATACGTGTATCCCCGTGTTATGGGTTTTCTGACGTTTTAGAAACATTCATAGTTTTCTCTCTAATCACATGAGCAACTGTAAAACATCTCATTCTCATATAAAAGACAACTTTCTGTTAAACACAAGCCATCATCTGGCTATTTACAATGTCTGCGTGATGCTACACCCCCTGTTATAGTACGAGTAATCGCGATAAACATGGCCGTACAAAAACTTTTGATCCGACGATACACATATACTAAATATTTTTTGCCAGGATCCGGTAAAACAATTCCCAACTGAAAATTTTGTACCCACTTTTGAGCGCTGCAGCGGGTATCCAGGTAGGGTTGAGTAATTGGGGATCGGGTACCTGGGTAGTAAATTTGGACTCATCCCAGCCCTCTATCAATCCTCTTCTCTTGTACCTGGAATCGCCTGTGTTTCCTGAGCCTACCTTGGATCTACCACGAGTAGCAGTGAGTGAGTGAGTGAGTTGGGTTAAGCGGCGCTTTGAACAGTACTCCATTTATATGTGGGTGGAAAGCCTGAAGTGATGCAGGCCTCAGATGTTTACCACTTTGGTGTAACCCACAAGCCTGACAAACCTAGAAACATAATTGGGGCAAACTGTGATATGAACCCACAATCACAGGTTTCTGACATCTGATCCCTCTGTCCATCTGTCTGTCTGTCACAGATGTTAACATTTTTCACATTTCCTCAGAAACTACAGAACACATGGAGCTCATTATCAAACTTGGCTTAGATGATCCCAGGAATGATGACTAGAAATTGCTCAAAGAATTCAAATTTTTTAACTTGGCCAAAATGAAAACCACATTAAAAATGTCCATCTGACAGTTTTAATACTCTGGCCTTTTTGTATCACAGTGCTGTAAACAAGGACAAGTTGTTTGATATATTCCATTGAATCAGACAGTCAAAGACGGACTGGTCACCCGATTTCAGAGACATGAACATTTAGCTCTGACTTGTGCAATCAGAATAAAGTGCCCCTAATGCAAAAACATTACTATTTCTGACGAAATAATATGCTGTAATCATTACTAATCAACCATTACACATAAAATGCATACCGGGCAGTGTTAGAAATTGGCACTAAAGTACTCACGGAATGAGAAAAACCTGTTTTTTCGATCTCAGATTTTAAATAAATGCAGTTAATATACAAAATATATAAATATTCAAACAACTCAATTGGTACTAATTGGGCCTTGGCACAAATACAGCGTATCAAAGGTTTTTATGTCTTTTTACACGTAAAAGTGTGTAAAAATATGAACAAAACAGACTATTGTGAAACCAGAGACCATATAATAGATATGGTCTCTGGTGAAACTGAGCATAACCAGGTGTTAGTAGATCAAGGTGAATGTCCATGACCTATGACACCTTGACGACAGGTGAAAACAGGTGCTTGAAACCCACATGCATGTGATTTGTCAGTGGTTAGCGATTTGTGAGTGGCATTGTGGGATAGTGAATCATCGTCAAAATATCAGAATGTAAAAGTAACATATTCCCTTCTCAAACAACTTACATGTCATTATTCTTATGTACATAAACATAGCTGTTATTTTTATTGTTGTTTTGATAACTTTTTTCCAGGCTAATTTGCATAATGTCTATAGCCTGTTTCTGCCATGTCACTTTGGACTTAGTTTTATTTTTGAATGTTGAAAGAGCCTACAAATTACCTCCTGTAGAGTACATTTTGTATTGAGCACTGACATAAAACTAGCAAATCCAGACTAGTACTTTTCCAGTTGTTTTGTTATTTCGTATTTACATCTACGTAATGCTTTGTGTCGATTATTAAATCCAGAAAAACAGGGTTTTTTCATTTCCATGAGTACTTTAGTCCTGTAGTCCTATACCAATAGTTAGGGTATCATAAGGACAAGTAGATATTTACCATTTTTAGGGGTTTTGCTACATGTTATCATTGCAAGGACTAGGGGACTAAAAATGTTAGTTTCCACCACTGCCAGATAGATTCTTTTTCAATCATATACCATAATAATTTTTGGAAATTGTAGTTAATATACCACCTAACACCTTTCACATTTTTTTGGTAGAGAATCTTCACACAAATATTATATAAAACATAATATGTAATTTGTCAATTAAGGTGCTAAATATCCCCAACAAAGCTGTAAATAACATCCACTGATACAGTGCTAATTATTTTGGCCATATTATTACTGAATGTTCGACCACCATGATTATCATGTCTAACTAGATAAGATTTACTTCAGATTTACTACCTGTGATTCATTTTTTTATGTCTGATGTAATTATTTTTGGACATGTAACTAACAACTACAAGGACAAAACTCTTCTTGTATGGACTACCCGGGGTAGATAAGGTCTTCAGCAACCCATTCTTGCCGTAAAAGGCGACTATGCTTGTCGTAAAAGGTGACTAAATGGGATCGGGTGGTCAGACTCGCTGACTTGGTTGCTGCATGTCATCGGTCTCAATTGCATTGATCTGTGCTCATGATGTCAATCACTGGATCGTCTGGTCGAGAATCGAATATTTACAGACCGCCGTCATATAGCTGGAATATTGCTGAGTGCAGGGGAAAACAACAAACCAACCAACCAACCAAACTTTTCTGGAATGATGGCAAATATCACAAGTGCATTTATGGGTATTTCATGTACATGCATTTTTTCACATCTCCCCTGTATCATCTGGCTTATGAAGCTGAAAATATTTCTGATGTGTCCCATCCCACCAATGGAGTCTCCTAAACATGCTCACAGAATTCTGGTCCTATTCCAAACATGCCAGTCATATTGAGTTTGTTATTATTAATAAACCAGGAATTTATCAAGGCATTGTCAGAAGCCATTTTCCAAAGATATCATAATGATATCAAGATTCAACTAAACAATCATTTTAACATGTTATATGTAATAGCATTGCATATGTGATTTAAAATGATATTATTGCATTGAATGTAATGTAAGAATGAATACATGTAGAAGCCAACTTATAAACCTCTAGTGACGTCACTCTATTGTCTCGCCAGGGTCTTCTTTTACCGACTAAACCTCTACTGGTAGTTTACCGGGCATTCCCAGGGTAAGCCCCGGGCATTCCCAGGGTAAGCCCCGGGCTTTCTGCAAGAAATCCCGGGAGATTTTCTACTGAAAGCCTGGTTTTTGTCCCCAAAAATACCCTCTTTATTGAATTACCTTTCTGCATGAAAAAAATAAAACAGAACATGGCTCAACTATTTATTGATATTAGATGAAATTGAAATTGAGCGTCACAGTTCGATTTAGTTTGTCTTCAGGTCATTGGTCATCTGCTCTTTTTGGATCAGCTTCTTCACATGATGGCGAGTTCATTTTTTTCAAAATACTAAGTATGTCAGAGACTGTTGCCTTTTGGTTGTCAGAAGTTCTCTTGTAATTTCGAACGGTGTCGCTCCGATGTCCTGAAACAAATTGTTCAGATTACTGAAAGTATTACACATACAGCATACAAATACACTAAAAAACTATTACAGATTCCAAAAACACCAATATTACCATATATATCATAAATAAAAAAGAGCATCTTACTGGTTTGGAAAAAATATTTCTTTGACATGTTATGACTTTTGCTGAATAACAATTTCTTATTACTGCAGGACTAAATTGTTTATCAACCTACCGGTAATTTCGCAAATCATTTGTTCATCAACGTCACCTTGATACAATCGAGTGGCTGCCGTGGCTCTCAAGGAATGGTTTATCTTCATGCCCTCAATACCAGACGTCTTGCACAGTCTTTTGACGGTAACTTGTAAGGTTATTTCACGCTCAGAGAGTGGATCTCCTAAACGGAATTTAAAGTCATCACTTTCCTTGTCTTCTTCAGAACAGGATGCCGATTCTTTAAAAACTGACTGCGTCAGAAATATATCATTGTCTGCGTCCATCCTCTTCAGTGGAATTCATTCGACTGGCTTGAACCACCTGCACTCATTGTTACAACGGGCCTGAAGCACGTGCGTCACGTGCAGCGCGCGGATGTACTCCCCGCGTATTGCAGTTAAACTCTCAACAGTAAATATCAATGAAGTCATGTTAATACCAATTAGTAAAATTATTTCTAAATCATTTTATTTGATCAGTTCATAAGTGAGATCGAAAACTTGCCCGAGGTTTTGTTTGGGAAGTATGCCCTTGGCCTCGGGAAAGGGGGTCGGGCCTATCGGCCCTCCCCCCTTTCCCTCCTCCGCGGGCATACTTCCCAAACAAAACCTCGGGCGCGGTTTTGATCCTACACATAAAACCTCTCTCTCCTACGTCCACTGTTGTAAACCACCTGAGACCACTCACTCTATTACAGTGGGCATTTGTGTACCTCGGCCTCCACCAGTTTCTGCGACCTTGTGGAGGGGGTTCAGATGATGGGCGACTTGACTTCTACCACAGAACGTCCAGCAAGGTGGTGCGCCAAGTATTCCTGAAGGACGAGGCAACCAGGGTGGCCTATCACAAAAGACTTGCTGCCTTCTTTAAACAATGGTAACTTGTAAGCCAGTTCACTGAATAATTGGAAATAAGTTACTTTCTGTATAACCTACACTATTAATGTTTCTGCATATGTCTTCCAGTATGTTAACTTATTGAAATTTTGAGACAAGCGAGTTGACATTATCATACCACATTGCTGGTGGTGGCTGTGGCAGAAGAATAAAGTAGAATTACCTTAAGAATGTATCTGAGAGTTATCCAAACATTCTCAGAAGCTTTGCATGGAAGATTCCAGGATAATATATCATCCTTGGATGTCAATATAGAAATCAGATCTGATCATATACATTTATTGGACATGTTTACTAATGGTTTAATTTGACACATCCTTCTCAGCAAGGACATTGCCAGGAAGTGCGAGGAGCTCCCATACCACCTACTGTCAGCCCAGGATTGGACTGAGCTCCGTGCAGTGCTGACAGACAGAGCAGTGTTTGAGCACATGTCCCAGGACAAACACAAGCAGTACCTGATGAAGACCTGGCAACAGCTGGGGGGGTACACTGAGGCAGCGGCTGCATATACCAACTTCCTGAAGGAACTCATTGAGGTAGGGGAGACCACTGTGTATACTGACTTTCTAAAGGAACTCATTGAGGTAGGGGAGACCACTCTGTATACCGACTTCCTGAAGGAACTCATTGAGGTAGGGGAGACCACTGTGTATACTGAGTTTCTAAAGGAACTCATTTAGGTAGGGGAGACCACTCTGTATACCGACATCCTGAAGTTACACATTGAGGTAAGGGAGACCACTCTGTATACCAACCTCCTAGAGGAACTCATTGAGGTAGGGGAGGCCACTGTGTATACCGACTTCGTAAAGGAACTCATTGAGGTAGGGGAGACCACTCTGTATACCAACCTCCTAGAGGAACTCATTGAGGTAGGGGAGACCACTATGTATACTGACTTCCTAAAGGAACTCATTTAGGTAGGGGAGACCACTGTGTATACCGACTTCGTAAAGGAACTCATTGAGGTAGGGGACACCACTGTGTATACTGACTTCCTGAAGGAACACATTTAGGTAGAGGAGACCATTCTCTATACCGACTTTCTGCATGAACACACTGAGGTAGGGGAGACCACTCTGTATACCAACTTTCTGCATGAGCACACTGAGGTAGGGGAGACCACTCTGTATACCAACCTCCTAAAGGAACTCATTGAGGTAGGGGAGACCACTGTGTATACCGACTTCGTAAAGGAACTCATTGAGGTAGGGGACACCACTGTGTATACTGACTTCCTGAAGGAACACATTGAGGTAGAGGAGACTATTCTCTATACCGACTTTCTGCATGAACACACTGAGGTAGAGGAGACCACTCTGTATACCAACTTTCTGCATGAGCACACTGAGGTAGGGGAGACCACTCTGTATACCAACTTTCTGCATGTACACATTGAGGAAGGGGAGACAACTTGGTATACTGACATCCTGCATGAACACACTGAGGTATAGGAGACATGCAACTGTATATACTGACATCCTGTGGAACACATTATGGTAGGGGAGGCAATTTAATTAACAGTATTTTTGAACCCTACAAAAGGCAGGCCATTTTCAATAGTTCAAGACTCACATTCAGAAGAGGAAATTTAACTGGTTGTTGTTGTTAAGCTCCTGAGTGAGAGAAAAGTTAGTGATGGTCACGTCATTCCCAAAACTAAGCAATGGCTGTGAATGGGTCAAGGGTATTGATCATACAAAAATGGAGACATGATACACTGGATAATTGAGGATGCCACATTTCAGCATTGTAGTAGAACAATTCATGAAGTGTATGTCAAGTAATTATCCTTTCCTTCAGACAATACATATTCCTGTTTATTCCTTAGTCACAAAACCTTGAGGACACTGACGAAGGCTACCGACTCCAGACCCGCGTAGGTTGGTTCATGGTGGACATTGGCCAATACGATCAGTGCCTTGACCTTCTGTACAAGGTCATTGAGGGGTCAAAGAAGAAGTATGGTGAAAAGGCAAAGGAACTGGCTGACCCAATGTATGCAGTGATGACTGCACTTTACAGGAAAGGTGAGAGTGTTTCTAAAGCTACAGGTTTCATGTGTCAATAATCAGAACTAAAAACCGTTTGAGAGGCTATTCACATTAATAATACAAGAGAAGATTTGCCCGATTTTGGATGAAGGAAATCCTGACATGAGACTTGTGCAAAAGATACTGGGTGACCATATTAAACAAAGGAACTTTTCAAATACTTTATACAGTCGTGCCTCGTTTATACGGACACTTGCGTCATTTCACAATTCGTCCGTATAAACAAATTTCCGTATAACTGAAACCAGCTTCTTACTGGAAGAGTTACTTCCCTTCAATTATGCAAATCATGACAGATGAAAGAGCAAACAGATACATCCACTCAATCTTTATTCATACACGTTTCAAAAAGTCTGTCATGGAAGTTTGAACTGTCACCAATTGTCGATTTTCCTATGGTATGTCCAAATTCAGTGCCATAATGCTTACTGACGGTTTCTAAACTTGCTGACGGGTGTTTTTCTTTAAACAGACAAATTTCCCTTTTTTCGCGTGCTGTAACTGCGTGTCGCTTACGTTTCGCTGGTTCACAGGCCATACTTACACAACTTTGACCTCTGACCTCCACAGACGCCATATTTATCGAAGGGGATTACATGTACAATAAACAAGCTCGTCTCAAACGTAACTCAGTGTCACTTGGTTAATTGACTTCTCACGAATCAAAGGATTACCACCAGCAGAAGATTACCACCAGCGGAAGTGTATTGTCCGGATAAGTGAGACAATTTTGTGTGCATTTCAGTGTTTTGTGTATGAAAATGACCGTCCGGTTCCGGAAACTGAATTTCCGGATATACGGATAAATTTATATAGTAATTATTTCGGTTTGAATGAAAATCGTCCGGGAACCGAGGTTTCCGGATATCTGAAGTCCGTATAAGCGGAGCATGACTGTATAATACAGATCCAGATTGCCACACAGGGGTATTCATTTAAAGTGTTACACTAGCTATTACAACATCATTTGGTGATATGTTTTCAACAAAATAACATAGCTACACTCAACACAAATTGCATGCAATATATTTGCAATCATCTCACACTTTTGTTTGTTAACTACAATCTCAACTACAAGATTCTGGTCTTTTACTCTGATACGATACCTCTCTGCTTGAAGATCTGAGGGCACTTCCTTTATCTGTCGTGTCACGTGAACCCTGAACAACCACTGAACGCCCAATCTAAATGAAGGAAGCATGGTTCAGATGTTAGCTGTCTATTAATTCAGCTTCATTTCTTTACAACCTTGATTGGAAATTTCACTTTTAAGAAAAGGGCATCAAAACAAAACGTAAATTCTAAATTTTTTGGATAGTGCTCCTTTTAGTGTGTAGATGCCCTGATGCTCAGATACGTCAGGGTGAACAAAATGTCCACAATAAATATCATGGCCTGTTTCATTTACCAAGGCAAGTAACTTCCTTTCTGAGAAACAGAAATTAGATATGCAGAACTGAATGCTTCTCTCATTCGTACGGAGAATTTGGAAGCCTCAACATTGATTGGCTCATAGAAAGTTCACTTGACGCAACCTATGGAGAGGTCAGATCTTCATGCAGAGTTGGGGGCAAAGGTAGCCAAGTAGTCTAAGGCACTGCAATTCCCTGTGCAGAGTTGCGTCCCTTGGACACGCCAGAAACCTATGATTGTGGGTTCAAATCCTGGTTCGCCCCGATTATGTTTCTAGGTATACCATACCCTTGCTCATGGTAATGAAGTGGTATATATCTAAGACCTGCATCATTTTGGGCTTTCCTCCCACATTAAACTGACATGCCTTGATGTAACTGGAATAGTGTTAAAAGCAGTGTTAAACCCATCACTCACTCACTCACTCACTCACTCACTCACTCACTCACTCACTCACAGAAACATCTTCATCTTCTAGACTTCTTATATGTTAACAAATTTTGAAGGCTTCTGTGTGCATTAACTGTCAATTGATGTTTTGTGGGACTATATACGTGGTGTTATTCATAATGCAAAGAAAGTATGGGCAACACATAAGCATGATTTTTCATCCTTAGGTTCTTGGGGACAATAAAATTATGTGAGGTGGGGGTGTTTTGTCATCAGGTGGGCTCTTTTTTTTTGTAATGGCCTAATCTGAAATATATGGTATACATTTAAACCTTTGCTTTCAGCTCTCACCTTTGTGTATAACACCCACCCAGGTTACAGATCCAGCAGGATATATGGGGAGAAGTACGCACCTCAGTGTGAAACGGTAAATATGATTGTGTATTAAATCATCTGATCAAAAACACAAAAGCACATTATCTTGTGACAATCTAGCTCTGTTTGAAGCTGATCCAGAAAGGTTTTTGCAATAAATATTCTGGTCTAGACTTATCTACAGACCACCACAGGCTGCTGTCATATAGCAGAAATATTTCTAAACATCAAGCAAAGAAACATTATATCATGAAAAGGATAATTTATTCACCCAAAGACGTGTTAGAGCATGCAAATGCATCGTCAGATTTTACTATTTTGACACAACATTTTGATTCCCTTTTCACCCCTTTAAAATTAATTGTTCCTCCCTTCTTTCCCTCCACTTGTTTTTTTTCGACTGCAATGTTTTTAATCAATTACTAGCCACAGTTTCTTTGACTTTTTTCCTTCCAACTTCCACTCTATCTTCCAGCATGGCGCAGTGTCCAGCCCAATGTTAGCTCTGCTAGAATGGGTCGTAAGAACTAAAAATACTGACTGACTATCAGTCCAGGCACTTTGTCACACACGCTGGGCCACTCTTTATCAGAGTATTTTGGGGTTTACAAATCCTGTAGCCCTGCAAAAGAGTCAGAAAAACATGAGAAGGTACTTTTGAAATATGACTTACATTCACTAAGGTATTTATGTTAATGGGGCTCTCAACCACCTAACCACTGTATTTCAGAATTTAAATGTGAGTGGAAAGCATGATCCAATGCAGGTCTTAGATAAATACAACTTTGGTGGCACATGGTCCTGTGCACAGCGCACATATCACAAATCAGCTGAAGTTAAGCAACGGTCCGTCACAGAGGGTATTTGGATGGATGACCGTGTTCGGCAGGTTGACTCCAGAGAGTGTCTAAGGGTTCATTCCTGCCCCACACTGAAGCCCATGTAGGCAAGTGACTTTGTTCCCAATAAGCCTCTGTACACGCAGCATAGGATGAAATGGTTATGTGACTGTTAACCTTCTAGTGCCTCATTGGCAGCTTGGATTGCATACTCCCTAATGAGCTGAGACAGAGAGTGAGAGCACCCTGATCCACTGACTTGGGTAATAATGGTGTCAGCATGATGCATCAACAAATGGCCTATAGCACATTACAAGTATCAATTTATGATGATTATTATTATTATTTGGTGAGATCCATGATCATGGCTGTGGTGCTGACAAACCAGGATCATTATAGATCTTTGGGATTTGGAGACCGAATCATTGGATCATGACTCTCCTGAGGAAGAGTCTTCAAAGGGAGTTGCAGCTGGACCACCTGTTCCTCCACACTCAGTGATGTAACTGAAATATTTTTGAAAACAACACTAAACTCATCCCACTCACTCCTTCTACTTTCTTCCCTGCCAGATTCACCGCTTGCACTGGGCACCTGATGATGACTACCTGGGCCAGGTGTTGGTGACATGTGGTTATTTCAAGTCTTCGCTCCTGAAGAACTGCAGAGAAATCTTTGCAAAGACCATGAACAAGAAGGGTCTTTCTGAGGTTCTGTACATGCTGGGAGAGAAGGACCAGTACAACAGCGACATCGGTGAGTATACGCCATCATGCACACGAAGGAGCAGTACAATAGGGACATCCGTGAGTCTATGCCATCATGCACACGAAGGAGCAGTACAATAGGGACATTGGTGAGTCTATACCATCATTTACACAAAGGAGCAATACAATAGGGACATCGGTGAGTCTATGCCATCATGTACACAAAGAAGCAGTACAATAGGGACATCGGTGAGTCTATGCAATCATGTACACAAAGAAGCAGTACAATAGAGACATCGGTGAGTCTATGCCATCATGTACACAAAGAAGCAGTACAATAGGGACATTGGTGAGTCTATGCCATCATGTACACAAAGGAGCAGTACAATAGGGACATCGGTGAGTCTATGCCATCATGTACACAAAGGAGCAGTACAATAGGGACATCGGTGAGTCTATGCCATCATGTACACAAAGGAGCCGTACAATAGGGACATTGGTGAGTCTATGCCATCATGTACACAAAGAAGCAGTACAATAGGGACATCGGTGAGTCTATGCCATCATGTACACAAAGAAGCAGTATAATAGGGACATCGGTGAGTCTATGCCATCATGTACACAAAGGAGCAGTACAATAGGGACATCGGTGAGTCTATGCCATCATGTACACAAAGGAGCAGTACAATAGGGACATTGGTGAGTCTATGCCATCATGTACACAAAGGAGCAGTACAATAGGGACATTGGTGAGTCTATGCCATCATGTACACAAAGGATCAATACAATAGGGACATCAGTGAGTCTATGCCATCATGTACACGAAGGAGCAGTACAATAGGGACATCAGTGAGTCTATGCCCACATGTACACGAAGGAGCAGTAAATATAATTTAAATTAATGTTCATGTTACAATGTCGATAAATATTTCGTTTTGTAGGCGTTGTGTTCAAATGAAATATTTTTGTACGTTCATTCAGCATAACATCACACAAATCTTACAAAACAAAATATTTATCTCCTAAATACACTCCTATAAAAACATAATGACTTGATTACCAAGCTTGTTTACAATGGCTAACAGTGAAGGCAGGAGACCAGGCAATTGAGGAATAACAAATCAAGTTATATCCCAGATATTGACCAGCAAATGTGAATCTTAAGTGATAGTGGAACATTAGGAGATGGCATAGGGGCCACAATGGATCAAAATGGAGTCTTTATTCATATGTTATTTTAATTCAAATGAAACTGACCAACAACACATGGTAACCTCCAGTATTTTCTTGTCCCCATGACTGGCAGATATAACACTTAACCAGAAACCACTGCTGCTCAACGAAATACTGTTTGTAAAAAATCACTGCAAAGTTTGCACACCATTTTTTATGTTTTCACATATAACTCCATAAATGCAAAAACATATTAAAGTAAGTTCTAAAAATAAATACATTAACAGTAATAACTTCACAGACTGTTTCTTTGATCAGTAGCATGAAAAGACTGTAGACAACAGTACAAATAAGCTACATTGTTGAGCACAATAATGCAACACATTTGCAATTTATATATTTTCCTATTACACACAGGAGTTCCCGAGTCCTACTTTGAGCAGTCCCAGGCCCTGTGCCTTGCCTCTTTTGGCCGATATCATCTTCAGACTGCACGATGCTACCAGCTGTACGGGCAGCTGTACTGGAACAGGTGGAGCATAACCGCAGGTCGCCAGGACTGGCTGGAGAAGTGCCTGGCCCTGTACTTGGTGGAGCTGGAGATCCTTGAGGAGGTCCAGGGGAAGCTGCACCCCAACACTGTGCGATCCCGGGAAGATGTCATCATCATCCTCCAGAAACTCAACAGACATGACGAGGCCAAGAAATACAACCAGGATCAACCTGCTGATGCCAAGACCATTGCTTAACTATGACGCGGACAAGAAGTACAACCAGGATCCACCTGCTGATGCCAAGACCATTGCTTAACTATGACGCGGACAAGAAGTACAACCAGGATCCACCTGCTGATGCCAAGACCATTGCTTAACTATGACGGGGAGGATCAACCTGCTGATGCCAAGACCATTGCTTAACTATGACGCGGACAAGAAGTACAACCAGGATCCACCTGCTGATGCCAAGACCATTGCTTAACTATGACGCGGACAAGAAGTACAACCAGGATCCACCTGCTGATGCCAAGACCATTGCTTAACTATGACGCGGACAAGAAGTACAACCAGGATCCACCTGCTGATGCCAAGACCATTGCTTAACTATGACGCGGACAAGAAGTACAACCAGGATCCACCTGCTGATGCCAAGACCATTGCTTAACTATGACGCGGACAAGAAGTACAACCAGGATCCACCTGCTGATGCCAAGACCATTGCTTAACTATGACGCGGACAAGAAGTACAACCAGGATCCACCTGCTGATGCCAAGACCATTGCTTAACTATGACGCGGACAAGAAGTACAACCAGGATCCACCTGCTGATGCCAAGACCATTGCTTAACTATGACGCGGACAAGAAGTACAACCAGGATCCACCTGCTGATGCCAAGACCATTGCTTAACTATGACGCGGACAAGAAGTACAACCAGGATCCACCTGCTGATGCCAAGACCATTGCTTAACTATGACGGGGAGGATCAACCTGCTGATGCCAAGACCATTGCTTAACTATGACGGGGAGGATCCACCTGCTGATGCCAAGACCATTGCTTAACTATGACGCGGACAAGAAGTACAACCAGGATCCACCTGCTGATGCAAAGACCATTGCTTACCTGTGACAAGGCCAACAAGTACAACCAGGATCAACCTGCTGATGCCAAGACCATTGTTCATCTGTATGGATGATGTTTAGGAGTGTATTTAATGCCATTTAATGTTCAACCCAGATGATAGTTAGACTATTGCTTGGCTATGTCTGGATGAGACAAGGTACAGTTGATCAGGCAGCTGACATTGTTCATCTTCCCGAGGCAAGGGAGTTAACTGTCCAGTTTCCACCCTTGCAAAATGAGCCTAGAATTTCGAAGTTATCATTTGGCTGGACGAACGAGTCTATGCATAGTCCAATTAATATCACGTAACAAAATCGACATCCAGTTCATTCACTGCCATGCAAATTTAGGTTGATTGCAGGATTTGCAAAGCATTTGTACCATCAACTGGGCATTGCTCATTCTGGGTCAGAATAGGTACTCATCAACATTTGCTGGTCATAAGCGACAACCAAATGGATTAGGTGGGCAAACTCAGTGACTTGGTGTGGATCGTTGCTCACAATATCAATCACTGGATTGTCTGGTCTAAATATGATTATGTTCAGGCCGTGGTCATGTAGCTGGAATTTTGTTGATTGCGGTGTTAAACTACAGACAAAGAAACAGACATAATGTGGTAATGATTTTGTCTCCCTGACTGGAGATCTGGTGTATGTTGCAGTAGTTACAAATGATATCTTATTATAGATATTAATGATTTTGTTTGTTTTTTAACGCCGCACTCAGTAATATTCCAGCTATATGACGTCAAGTCTGTAAATTATCGAGTCTGGACCAGACAATCCAGTGACTGACATCATGAACATCTATCCATGCAATTGGAATATGATGACATGCATCAACCAATTCAGCGAGCCTGACCAACCTATCCCGTTAGTCGCCTCTTACGACAAGTATAGTCGCTTTTTACAGATATCAGTGAAGACAAGTGATAAACATCCTTCTTTGTCCAGGGCCCACTTGCACAAAGCATTCTTAGGGCTAAGATGATCATAACTCCCATTCTTTAACATAGGCTTACAATAATCTAAGGGCTAAGATCGTTTTGTGCAAGTGGGCCCAGGTGACTGATATACTTGTTTTATCAAGTTGTGTTCCTGAGCTGAATATACCTGATGTTATGAGACTTTCATTTAAGGAATGTTCTGGATGTAAATCACATTAAGAACAAAATTAGAACATTTGTATTACTTTTGTGCAGACCTTGCAATGATCCATGGCTATGGGGATTTCCTGTAGAATAATGCATGTTAATGGAATATGGAGTCTCCAGAGGAAGCTGTATTGAGTTGCTGGCCTTGGTGACAGACCATTTTGATAGTCTAAGATGTCTTGAAGAAAAGTGTTTTTTGGTGTCACGAAAGTATTTGGCTTCATCTGTTTGTGTTTTTCTCCCTCACTAAGCTGATAGACTGTGAGGGCAGTCGGGTAGACTAGTGGTTAAAACGTTCGCTCGTCACACAGAAGACCCGGGTTCGATCCCGACATGGGTACAATGTGTGAAGCCCTAGGCGCATTTCTGGTGTCCCCCGCTGTGATATTGCTGGAATATTGCTAAAAACGGCGTAAAACCATACTCAATCAATCAATGATAGACTGTGATACAACAAGATGACAGAAATACTGTTTAAAGCATGGTTGAAACCCACCAACTTTCAGGTAACAATATCCCAACTCATTTTCTGGACACACCCATTTGATGTAATGCCAATGGTTTTTTTATCTGTTATGATATTATTATATATACCTATATACATGTTCTATGCATAATGATCTCTTTACTGTCAAAATAGGGCACCAGTGGTCCCTAAATCGTGTTATTCAGGCATGACAAACACTTCTACTATAACTTTGTAACGTCTAACACCTGCATCACTGAGGCTTTCTTCACACATTAAGCTGACAAGCTGCATCTTCCCCAGGCAAGAGAGTTAACTGACTTTCTTATAGTCCAGTTTCCACCCGTGCCGAACTGGGCTATTAGGAGTTATTACCCTTCTATGCCTCTCCTATGTTCCAATTAGATTCGGGGGGGGGGGGGGGGGGGGAGCACGGGTGGCCCAGTCGTCTTAAGGCGCTGCGATTCGCTGTGAAACCTATGATTGTGGGTTCGAATCCCGGTTCGCCCCGATTATGTTTCTAGGTTTGTCAGCACCATACCCGTGCTCGTGGGTTTCACCGAAGTGGTAAACGTCTGAGACCTACATCACTTCGGGCTTTCCTCTCACATTAGGCTGACACGCCGTGATATAACTGAAATACTGTTAAAAGCGGCGTTAAACCCAACTCACTCACTCACTCCAATTAGATTCCACCTCTCGTATCACTTGCATTTGCTTAAAACAAAATGGCGGCGCCCAGTCAAGACGATCTGATCGATAATCAAGATCTATATTGTATTAAAACGTGTTTTACATCGCCAAGTGCATCAAATCACGTGAGCACCTTGATTAAAAACATGAAAAGATTGGGAAAATATCTGTTGACAACGAATTGGTGGTGCACATGCTTTGCAAATCCTGCAATTGACCGAAATCTGCACGACAGTTTACTAACCGGATTTCGATTTCGTTGCGCGATTGTGATTGATCAATTCACAGACTCGTTAGTCCAGCCAAAATGTAACTTCATAATACCAGCCTAGTTCGGCAAGGGAGGAAACTGGACTTTTATAGTCAGTTAACTCACTTGCCTCGGGAAGATGACAAGCTGTGATATATTAGTGACTGAAATACTAAAACATGCTGACATGCTGTGTTAAAACCAAACTTACACTTTGAAAGGTTTATCTTATGCTGATACATTCATATGTGTTTTGTACCATGTTGATACCATGAAGATCAGGATTAGAAATGGTCTACAGCAACCCATGCTTGTCTTCAGAGGCCACTTTGCTTGTCATTAGAGGTGACTAACGGGATCGGGTGGTCAGACTCACTGACTTGGTTGATGCATGTCATTGTATCCCGATTGCGTAGATTGATGCTCTTGATGTCAAACAATGGATTGTCTGGTCCAGACTCAAGTATTTACTGACCGCTGTCATATGGCTGAAATATTGCTCAGTGCGGCGTTGGACAACAAACAAACAAACAAACCATGATGACTGTGGATATCTGTGATACAACATGTAATCAGGTTTTTTTGCACAGAAATTGCATTTACAAACTATATTTACAATTTACATTTGTATTTGAAAAGTTACTTTACAGTTTACTGTAATATTAAAGGTTTTTACAAGAATTTCTATTGTTCGTATTGTGTCAAAGTACTATGAGCCATTGTTTGGTGAGATAATATTCCCATTAATTCCTCCTTTCCAGAGTCAGTCATCTCGGATGTGTTCTTCAAACACAGGCAACTCTTTGTTAATTAAGTCTTAATGTGTGACGGGGCGGTCGGGTAGCCTAGTGGTTAAAGCGTTCGCTCGTCACGCCGAAGACCCGGGTTCGATTCCCGACATGGGTACAATGTGTGAAACCCATTTCTGGTGTCCCCCGCCGTGATATTGCTGGAATATTGCTAAAAGCGGCGTAAAACCATATTCACTCACTCACTTAATGTGTGACCGTACGCAAAAAAAGGTGTCTCTGTTGCTGAAGCTTGTCCTCGCCACGAACAACATGCTGTCCATACCATGAAACCATTGGTCTTATCTTACAGGGGAGTGTTAATATGGACGGTCTACGTGGATATACTTCTCCATGCTTTCGGGCAACTTTTTCACGATGAAGAAAGTCGTATTTCTCAATCTTTATTTTTGATGAGGAACCTTGTTATCCTTTTTATAAAACACATCAACACAGCATTTAAATTCAAGGGAAAAGCAAATTAGAATAAACTATGTTTTAAAATTTTAAATACATTGTGTGACTTCGGGCGAGGAACTTCAGTGTTTATTATATGAAAACATGGTGCAATATCGCATGCTATCGTATACAGTTGCAAGAACGACACAAGTGCGTTCTGCACCAGTGTTATTGTCTCATGTTCCGTGCAGGTGCTCGGCAGTGTCTGTCAGGGATGAATAAATCACAACATGACCATTTGTGTGATAAAGCATTGCTTGGTCGAAGTGAACTTCCAAGTTTAGTTGCTATCAGCATTGACATATGAGCTGTCATTATCACGTGGTGTTGAGATCATGCATTGCTCGTATCAACTGCCTTTCCGGCGGTGTGGTAGCCTAGTGTTTTAAACTTTCGCTCGTCACGCCGACCGGGTTCTATTCCCCACATGGGTACAATGTGCGAAGCCCATTTCTGGTGTCCCCCGCCGGAATATTGCTGGAATATTGGAACAGCAGCGTTAAAACCAGACTCACTCTCTCACTCACTCAAAGCATCACGACTCATCCCTGTATTTGTTACAGACACTTGGTAAGTGAGTACTTTATGAATATGTGACGATTTATGTTTTCCTAGGGTGACATTTGAAAATAATAAATATTGTTGTTGACTAATATGATGAAATTCTCGGACAAGTATCTAAACCCCAGAAACACGAATTCGGAAATGGTGACATAGTGTCAATGATGATTTCCCCCATTCCATCTCTCGCTCCTTCCCCTCACCTTCCTCCTCCCTTCCTTCGCCCCTTGCCACACCCCCTTCCTCAGCCCTTATCTCGCCCCTTCTCTCGCAACTTTTCTCACACACACACCCGCCCCTTATCTGGGTAGCTGTGGTTGGTTGATGCATGTCATCGTATCCCAACTGCGTAGGTCGATTCTAAATACGTTAAGCACTGGATTGTCTTGTCCAGACTCGTTAATTTACAGACCGAGTGCGACGTTAACAACAAACAAACCAAATGTAGCTGTAGCGGCCATAAAATGTCCGACTAGTGCTGAATGGCGAATCGAGGACCTTCTGATCTGAGGCGGGACTGTTCATGTACCCGAGGATGTTTCTCGTCAGCTGTCAAGGTAAGGATGTCTGTCAGAACGCTTCCGCGGCCTCCCACAGCCATTATACAAATCTTGAAACAAACACAGATCTGTATCTAAAAATCCAGATGGTGGCACAGGGCTCGGCTATGACTAAAAGAGTTAATGTGGTATGATTGTGATCACCTGCATTAAGATTAACATTTTACACACGCTTCAATCACCCATGTTTTCCCTTACCATTTTCCGAGGGAAAGTCAGACAGTACGTCGTCGGAGTACGTTCATGTGTGTAATATTTCGAATCTTTGGGGAGGTGGGGGAGTGCTTAATATTAGGACACCATGTGTGAAAATTATGATGACTGATGTTTTCATTTGGCGGTTTCCCGTGAAGAACCGGGTTAGAGTTGATCTTCAGCAACCCATGCTTGTCATAGTTCCGGGTGGACAGTGAGTGAGTGAGTTGGGTTTAACGCCGCTTTTAACAGTATTCCAGTTATATCACGGCGTGTCAGCTTAATGTGGGAGGAAAGCCCGATGTGATGCAGGTCTCAGACGTTAACCACTTCGGTGAAACCAACGAGCACGGGCATGGTGCTGACAAACCTAGAAACATAATTGGAGCGAACCGGGACTCGAACCCATAATCATAGGTAACTGGCGTGCCCAAGGGACGCAGCTCTGCACAGTGAATTGCGGCGCCTTCGGGTGGACAGGCTCTTACTTGACTGATGCATGTCATCGTTTCCCATTTGCATAGATCGATGCGCATGTCAATCACTTGATAGTACGCAAGTACGTTAGTTTAACGACACCCGGAACCACTGAAACTCGGAATGTTCTGTAACAAACGTACGCCATGTTGTATATTTTCATTTATAAAAGTCCACCATCTTGGATTCACTGTGTGGGAGCCGCACTGACCTATGACCCGGGGTACCCGGATTACCCCTATCGATCAATGTTATGTGTGAAAATACGACACACCAATGGGAATTCGCGCATGATTACAATCACTTTGGTCCAAGAATTTCTTCATAATACTTTGATTCATATTGGTATAGTTTGTAAATCACATATATTAACAAGATACCCATGTAAACTTACAAATAGAAGTACAAGCACAAGTTGACTGTTTTTGTTAGCTATGCCCATTTATCTCGACCCTTCTTCCGACACTTCCCCACCCTTTCCCCTACCCCTTCCCCCACCCCTTCCCCCACCCTTTCCCCCACCCCTTCCCCCACCCCTTCCCCTACCCCTTCCCCCACCCCTTCCCCCACCCCTTCCCCTACCCCCACCCCTTCCCCACCACTTCCCGAGCCTTACAAGTGGACCTGTATCCAGCAGTTCAACACTATCTATTTTTCACCGTTACTCAATGTCATTGAGTTGTCTTTATTCAGCATAAAACTCCATAATATCCTCAACAAATACAGCTTGGACATCTAGATCTAAGTGCTGAGATTCTTTTCATTGAGGTTGGTTTCGGAATTCAAATACGTGTTTGAAGTTCGCAAGGGTGCAGATCTTGCAGGCCAAGGATGACAGCTAGTACACGTGTAAGAAACACAGATTCCAGTAGTTCCAATATACAATAACACATTAATATTTTTTTCACATATTCTTTATTGACGATTGACGTTGGTTCAAGTCATTTGGAGGTGAGAAAACTATAACCAAAACGAAATACTTGCTTTAATGTGTGTTAATATTGATACCAATAATCAGTATAGCTCTATAGTATCAGCAATATGTTGAACAGGATTCAACATGGACATCTCATTTTGATATACTGTCCCAACGTGACTACAATATTTGTTAAGGAACATGGATTTTGTCACATGAGTAGATGACTAAATCAGAAAGATATATACCGAGCAATCTGGGTTGAAAGATAAGCTAGATCATAAACGCGTAGCATAACCATTATATCACATAGGACTGGGTAGAAATACACAAGATGCAGAACATAGAACATTACGTTTGAGGTGAGGTGAGGTGAAAGCAGTATAACGCCCTGTTCAAGATGATTGCACTTATATAGCGACGTGCATGCGCGCGCGCTTGCGTGTGTGTGTGTGTGTGTGTGCGTGTGCGTGCGCGCGCGTGTGTGTGTGTGCGCGCGTGTGTGTGCGTGCGTGCGTGCGTGCGTGCGTGCGTGCGTGTGTGCGTGCGTGCGTGCGTGTGTGTGTGTGTGTGTGTGTGTGTACTTGTTTGGACTTTTGACGATTTTGCAGCGTTATCCCACTGAGATGCCATGCCACGGTTGAACATGAATTCCCCAACTAGACGCAGTATACTGACTCCAGGCCGACCAGTCCTTCAGTTTTCTCCTTAATGCCGAGCGTCAGGCAGGGTAACAACAAGTATTATCTTTTAACGTCTTTTGGTGTTTAAAAGCTAGGAGATCGAACAACCGATCTCCCGCTCCCCGGGCAGGCTCTATCCACTACACTGCCGAGGTAGCCCATTTCCTTTAAAATAAGTTTTAGTCTGCATTTCCGTGGTCACCAGAACAGGATCATTGAGACAATCGAGGTCATGACGGAATTCCGCGATAGCTAAAATCACATAAATATTAAAAGTGTAAATTTGTGAAAGACACCCGATAACAATATTAGCTTGACTCTGTGAAGGGGATCTCTGACGATTGCGAGGGGCCGCTGGACAAGAATGTTGCTCTTCTGCATTGGAATAACTTCAGAGTTTGCGCTCGAAACTTTCTCCCCGTCATGAAGTACAGGTAGAAATTGATGGCGTGGTTCGAGTCCGCGATTTGTGTGGTCAATATGTTAACAAACCCTCTTCTTGTACTACACATAACGTCCTCGTCACTCGAGCAGATGTAGTTGTAGGCGATTACGTACACGCAACGTGGGATGTTGAGGACGAGGAAGCCGATGGCGAGAGCGACGAGCATGACGGTTATATGTCGTTCCTGACGCCGCGCTGCGCGATGAACATGGCCATATGCCGACGTCATGATTTGGCGTCTTGTTGTGGATCTGCGCATTATCAAAACAGTGAGGGCGTTTAATACAATTAGGAACCCGGCAGGGATGAAGGCGAAAACGGAAGCACTGATGAAGAACCAGATCATTAGATATTTGTGAAACCGTTCTTTGACTGTACACGTGTAGTGTTCGTAATGAGTGACTGTGATGAAGATGTGGCTGTGGATGAAGCAGAGGAATACGACGACGCCGACGATAATGACAACTGCCCGCTTCAACGACCACACCAACGCCACCTTGAACGGCAACGCCACCGCTGTGAACCGCTCTGCTGATATTACGATCAGTGTCCAGTTTGCAGATGCTGCGCATGTTAAACCAAAGAAAAACAGAAACTGACATCCCGTTTCATCGATCGACATCTTCATTTGTCGGGTCTGGTTTTCTATAATCTTTAAGATGATGGTGATATTGTCTACAGAACTCAGCACCGCTACGTAGAATAACGACGTTGTCAATCCAGTCTTCGACATTCTAAAGATGACAAACAAACTGAGAGTATTTCCTGGAAACCCAAATGCAAATATAATCCATATGTAGTAGGTGTTGAGGAAGGTTATTAATGCATTCAACTTGTAATATTCTGCTGGATATATAAAGGTTGTCACATTGGTGTGCACGGTGAAGTTTTCATGGTCTGTTACCATGGTGATTGGTGTTGCGTCAGTCATATCCATATAAGGCAAAACGTCTGAAAGAGAAAACAGTTATCTTCTAGTAACAATGTACAGGACAAAGATGTTCATATGCTGACAATAATGGCGAAGGGGGAGGGCACTCAAACGTTAAATGATTCAGAAAATGCTAGCAAAAACTGGTCGGCCTCAGATTACAAACACGCAAAAAATATAAAAGATATAATGTTAAGTCCCGAAAAAAGTTATTTTAGGGTTCCGCCAAACAACTGTTTTGCGCCCTATGTCAGAGAAAACGTATCCTTGAAGCAGGGACAGAAAACATATTCTCTCCATTTTCTCTCTAAATAACATCCCCGTATCTCATACTCACCAGGCCAACCTCGCTATGGACACTTCTTGCAAGAACCCCTTGTTTACGAATGCCCTGAAAAGGTAAAGATAAATTGTTAATGTGACACAACCATATCATCGATATCAAGTGATTCGCTTTAATTCACCTCACTGTCAACGTCATCACATCTGTAGGGGTAAGTCGTCTAAGGCGGAGTTGCTTCCCTTGGCATTCCAAACAAACATATAACTGGAGTGAGTGAGTGAGTTGGGTTTAACGCCGCTTTTAACAGTATTCCAGTTATATCGCGGCGTGTCAGCTTAATGTGGGAGGAAAGCCAGAAGTGATGCAGGTCTCAGACGTTTACCACTTCGGTGAAACCCACGAGCCCGGGTATGGTGCTGACAAACCTAGAAACATAATCGGGGCGAACCGGGATTCGAACCCACAATCATAGGTTTCTGGCGTGCCCAAGGGACGCAACTCTGCACAGCGAATCGCGGCGCCTTAGACGACTGGGCCACCCGTGCCCCCTATAACTGGAGATTCCAAGGTTCGCCTTGATAGAGAATATCGCTTTGTTAGTACCAATGACGTATTCGTTGGTTTTACCAGAATTGAAGATGTTTACGGTTTGCATCACTGTGGATTGACAAGCCCGGATGTGGATTAAATGTCTCATGAATTACGGTTTAAGGCGGGGTTAAAGCCGACTCGGCGAACCTTTAGCGAACTCTAACATCCCAGTCTGAATGAATAATGTGTGGGTTCTCGAGCCAATCAGATGCCAGCTTTCTGAAACGATTCGGCTTCATTGTCGTCTCACCTCAAGGCCATCGATATCCATTAAGTGTTTCTTATCTCAAACCTCAACCAAGAAAGCGGCGGATGAAATAAAAAATTCAAAATAATGAAATACAAATTCTGTCACACTTATTTTATGACCTAAAAACTTGTCTCTAAGTTAATTTATGACGTATACCGAGTCGCCTTACTTCAAACGAATTTTAGTCAACACAGCTGAAGAAAGATGAAGCTGATCTGGGTTTTAATGAGTGTGCAATGTCTTTTGTCACACAGGAGCACAATCTTCAACAGCGGCGGAGAAAAGTAAGACACGAAATCATTTCTATTATTTCAGGGCGGAATGAAACTTCAGGTTTGGCGGGATATGGGGAAAATATTATGGACATCCTAATCGCACTCCATCTTCCCGAGGCAAGGGAGTTAACTAACTGTAAAAGTCCAGTTTCCACCCTTGCCAAACTGACAGGAATTTCCAGGCTCGATCGTAGCGCCACCAGTGGCTGTTACGAGTTATGTCCCTTCTACGTCCCCCCTATTGACCAATCAGATTTAATCTTTCATATCACTTGCATTTGCTTCAAACAAAATGGCGGCGCCCAGTTAAGACGATCTGATCGATAATCAAAATCTCAATTGTAACAAACCGGGTGTTACCACACGAAGTGCATCAAATCACTTGAGCACTTTGATTAAAAACATGATAAGGTTTGGAAAATATCTGACGACGTCCAGTTGGAGGTACACATGCTGTTAAATCCTACAGTCGATCGAAACATGCACGTTGAAATTCATGTTGTTTACGAAACGGATGTCAAGATTGTTTACACGATTGTGACTGGATTATACCCTGACTCGTTAGTCTCGCCAAAATGTAACTCCGGAATTCCAGCCTTGTTCGGCAAGGGTGGAAACTTGACTTTTATAGTCAGTTAACTCCCTTGCCTCGGGAAGATGATGGTACTCCGGTGTAGGTGTAAATGCTATGTGCTCAGAGTGTATAAAATATAGTAGAATATAAATTTAGTCACGTTTTTCTTAATTTAAAGGGGGCACGGGTGGCCCAGTCGTCTAAGGCGTCGCGATTCGCGTCCCTTGGGCACGCCAGAAACCTATGATTGTGGGTTCGAATCCCGGTTCGCCCCGATTATGTTTCTAGGTTTGTCAGCACCATACCCGTGCTCGTGGGTTTCACCGAAGTGGTAAACGTCTGAGACCTGCATCACATCGGGCTTTCCTCCCACATTAAGCTGACACGCCGTGATATAACTGGAATAATGTTAAAAGCGGCGTTAAACCCAACTCACTCACTCACTTAATTTAAATATCTTATACAGGTATACAGAAGTCAGTTTTATTACAATGACATTTTTGCAGTAAAGAATATTTGGAAGTGACAGGTAACCGTCACACATATCCTGTCGTTGGGTAATATAATGTTTCCGTAAAGTCTGGTAATAATCACAAGTGAAAAAGACATGATCTTCATTTTCAATACAACCCTTGTTACAATATCTACATACACTATTTTCATTATCTGAGGGGGTTTTACGTAGAAACTGAACATTAAAATTATGTAAGCTAATCCTAAATTTTACAAAAGGTTCTTCTGAGAGATTTATCCTGCAAAGAATCAATATATTTTTCTACATTCAGCAAAGATTTAACATTTGAATAATGTGATAAATATTTGGAAGCAGACAATTTTGCAAACCAATTTTGAGAGGCAACATCTTTTAGTCTTTCCTGAAATTGATACAAAAAATATATAAAAAACAATTTTATGACCGAATACAGAAACCAGGTATGTTATTTAGTTCATTCGTACCGAGAAATTCTAAGCATCGGCGCTGATTGGCTGATCAGAGCGTTCACTTGGCTCGGCCTCATGGCGGTGTCCCCAGATCTTCACACAAACAACCACAAGAACGGATTTTAACGAGATTGGACAATAAATAATCTAACACCCTTCCCATGGGCCCCTCGAATGGATTGTTTTAATATAATTTATTAAAAGACCTGAAATCAGCTGCCAACTTTTGTACATTTATCCCCTCGCTCAATGTTCTCCTAACATGAATTCTTAATACTGTGAAGTACAAAACATCAAATCCCTTGTCAAAGGCATAATCAACTAAATGACAAACCACTAGAGCACTGTCTCATGGGAGATTCTGTCACAACGAGCCAAATGCATCTCACCACGGGACGGGTAGTCCTGAATGCACTCTACACCGGAAGTACAGGCCTGTGAATCTAGGTAGGAAGTATAATGATCACGGTTTGTCATAATGCAGCCTCTGAATTACTTCATTAAGGGACATCGATCTCATGTTTTTTGTTCAGTCTGAAAACAACAGTAACACTGAGGTTTTACATACATTCTAAATCATGTTGATGTGTTCCACCGGGTAGTGCATTACCTGATGTGTTAATTTAATGCTTGAGTAAGATTGTAGTAATATACTGATGCACAGAAATAAAGGAACGGCTTTTAAAGGAACCAAAGGGAGGTGTGATTGTGAATGTTGTTTATCATGTAGTTGACATGAACGATAGTTACTTCCTGAAAAGTATACTTACTTCATCCGAAAGATACTCACTTCATCAAAAGGATACATACATGTACTTCATCAGAGGGATGTATACTTCATAAGATGGATGTACTTCAAGTATATTTACATCCTCCGAAGGATATTTACTTGATCAGAAGGATGTAAATTTTATAAGAAGCTAAGGATATATATACTTCCTCAGAAGGATATTTACTTCATCAGAAAGATATTTACTTCGTCACAAGGTTAGAGACAACGCCATTGAATGGATATTTACTTGATTAGAAAGATATTTATTCATCAGAAGAATTTGTACTTCGTCAGAAGGATATAGGTAACGTCATCAGGATGTATACTTTATCAGATGATTACTGACTTCACCAGAAGGATATTTACTTCAAATGGCATGTCCTTTATCAGAAGATGTACTTCGTCAGACGGGTATTTACTACCCTAAGAAGGATCTTTACTTCATCAGAGCGATGTTTAGTTCACAAGAATGTTGTTTACTTCATCATGACCTTCATCGGAAGAATATTTGCTTCATCAGAAGGATATCTACTTCATCCGAAGTCTATTTACTTCATTAGAAGGATATGTACTTTATCAGAAGGCGATGCACTTCATCAGAAGGATTATACTTCATCAAGAGGATATGTACTCTTTAGAATGCTATGTACTTCACCAGAAGGATATACGTGGGCTGTTAAAAAAGTCTTTCAACTATGGGCCATAACAAAGTGAACTAGTCAATGTAGTACTTTGTTTGAGTAGTTCATTGCAAGTGTATTTGGTCTGTTGATGCCGTTTGTATATTAGTGAGAGCCAGTTGAACGCGATAGACACAGAATTGGAAAAGAACGAGTACCGAGCAATCGTCACGTTTTTTACTTTAGAGAAAGGTACTCGCCAAGGAATTCATGACCGCATGTCACAAATGTATGGGGATAAGTGCCCTAGCTATTCCACGGTTAAACGTTTGGGCAGCTACGTTTAAGGCTGGGAGAACAAGCCCTGATGGTGACCCTAGATCTGGATGTACCTCAACTTCCATCAATGAAGATTCAATCAAGGAGAAAGAAAAACTGTTTATGTCAGATAGACATAATACCACCTCCGTAGCTGGAATATTGCTGAGTGCGGCGTTAAACAACAAACCAGCCAACCATTACTGAACTTTAGGAAGACACAGGTCTAAGCCATGGATCCACTGAAACAATTATTCATGAACATTTACAGATGAGTAAGATGCCAAAGTATTTTACTAAAATCTGATCTAAGGGGAAGAGAACTGACATTGCCAGAATATTTAGAGCTCATGGAGAAGGATTTCGTCAAATTCAAAAAGAGATTTGTAACGGGTGATGAAACATGGGTCTACCACTTTGATCCCGAGTCAAAACGTCAATCCATGTAAAGGCACCATTCCACTTCTCCGGCACCAAAGGAATTCAAGTCTTTAAGATCAGTGAAAGAAGTTATGGCCACTGTATTCTAAGATTTAAAGGGTGACTGCTGACTGCTGGAGTCCTACTACATGTAGTTCATGACAATGCCCCTTCTCATAACTCTCGACTTGCAAAGGCCTCTGTGCTATAATGTGTGTTCGAATAGGTTCCTCACCCTCCATACTCGCCAGGCCTGGCTCCAAGGGATTTCCACCTGTTCCCTAAACTGAAAGAACACCTTCGTGGAAACTGCTATGACGACAACGATGACCCCAAAGCTGCCGTGAATGGGTTTTTCAGAGTGCCTTCAGACTGACTGGAAAATCTTCACTATCGATATGAGAAGTGTATTGAAAAGCAGGTTGAAAAATAAGATTAAAAACACATTCAGAATTGTTGGTTTTGTTTGTTGGGCTTAGATCCTTTTGACCAGACCTCATATTACTTCATCAGAAGGATGTCTACACCATAAAGATTCTTACTTCATCAGAAGGATGTTTACTTCATCAGAAGGATCTGTACGTCATTCGAAGGATAGGTACTTCATCAAAAGGACGTGTAATTTTTCAGAAGGTTATATATTGCATGATAATGTTATTTACTTCATCAGAAGGCTATTTAGTGTATCGGAAGGACAGTTCCCGAACATAGCTGAAAACGTTGCTTATCAATATTTCTGTTTTATCGTTAAACAATTTATTTTTTTAATTGCAAACATTTCTAAACTATGTAAATCTGCATAACTTCGGGCTTTCCTTCCACATCAAGCTGACACGTCATGATATTACAGTAATCCTGATCAAAGAAGATGCACTTTATAACAAGAATATTACCTTCATGAGATTTGTTTGTTTGTTGTTTACGCCGCACTCAGCAGAATTCCTCTTATATGATGACTGTCTGTTAATAATCGAGTCTGAACCACAGTGATTGATATCATGAGCATCGATGCACGCAATTGGGATACCACATGCATCAACCAAGTCACCGAGTCTGACCACTCGATCCCGTTAGTCGCCTCTCACGACAAGCAGAGTCGCCTTATACGGCAAGCAAGGGATGCTGAAGATCTAACCCGGATCCTTCACGGGTATATGTACTTCATTCGAAGGATGTATAACTGTATTACTGTTGAAGGCGGCGTGAAACCCAACTCACTCACTCACTTTTAAAAACGTAAATAACAAATGAAGTGGTGGAAGTAGTGGTATAAAGCACAACTGTACCACGACAGGTGTACCACCTTTATACAGTAAACTCAAAGGGACCACTAATTTTAGTTCGTAATAACCATAGTTCGTTAGAAGCATATATACAGCATATATGCAACAAATCGCCGGGACTAGTGAGTGAGTGAGTGAGTATGTTTTTACGCCGCTTTTAGCAATATTCCAGCAATATCACGGCGGGGGACACCAGAAATGGGCTTCACACATTGTACCCTTGTCGGGAATCGAACCCGGGTCTTCGACGTGACGAGCGAACGCTTTAACCACTGGGCTACCCGACCGCCCCTCGCCGGGACTAAACAACAAGTTCGTTATATCGGTAAGTTCGTTATAAGCGTGTTCGTTATAAACGTAGTTTACTGTACCTACATCTGTACCATCTTTGTACCACTGCAGGTGGAACTAGGCAATCGAACTCGCTACTCGCTACACAGCTAAATAACGTAACCCTGTCCAGTTAGTGCGCTTCTCAGACAACTGGGCCAACGATGCCTTCATGAAATGACTGACATGTATGAGGTCAATGTTTATAGGCAAATGTCAACAACAGTTGTTGGTTCTCACATCAGGTCAGGTTTCATCACAAAGGTCATATGTAAATTAATGGCGTGAGTCAATTTTACGTTCTGATACAATAGGCCGCTCCGCCCAATTGTGCTAGAGCCTGCGTGTGTTTGAAACAGGGAATTGTCATGTATATAAATGGGCTAGACAGCTCTTCTATTTGGAAAAGGTTAAATTTCAGTAAATGGAGAATGCAGTTAACTAGGGCTGGGACGAGTCCAAATTTACTACCCACCCCACTATTACCCGACTCTACCCGGGTACGCGCTGTAGGTCACAAGAGAGGTGTACAAAATGTTTGATTGGGAAACGTTTGACCGTACTCCTGTCAAAATGTATTTAGATACATGTATACCCCGATCTGGTCATGCATACACTGAAGTTGACTGAATATGCAAACATATAAAGTCAGAAGGATTGTGTGTATAGTCAGAACGAAATTTGTCACTTATAGTGTAACCATAGAGTTCGAAATATGTTTTGCCATTAAACAATATACTTACCACGGGTCCGGGTAGTCCTGTGGGTGCCCGGGTCCAACTAAGTACCCACCTGACTCGAATACCCGAGTTACCCGTCCAAGCCCTACAGTAAACGTGATAATCTGCGAAGAATGTAATGGTTTTCGAAATTGCATGCATAATAACATAAGTGAGTATAGTTTTAAGCTGCTTTCAGCAATATTCTAGCAATGTCTTTGCGGGGGACACCAGCATGTGGGGAATCGAACCCGGGTCTTCGGCGTGACGGGCAACAGTTACAGTAAACTACGGTTATAACAAACTCAAAGGGACCACTTATTTTAGTTCGTAATAACCGTAGTTCGTTATAAGCATATATACAGCATATATGCAACAAATGGCCGGGACTAAAAAACAAGTTCGTTATATCGGTAAGTTCGTTATAAGCGTGTTCGTTATAAACGTAGTTTACTGTATAACCACATCATTACCCCAGTGGTATTTGTTTCCCAGACGTAACCTTATATAGTATTCAGTCTGTTAAATAAGACTGAGTGAGTGAGGGGAGTTTAATCCCGCTTTTGAACAGTATTCCAGTTACATCACGGCGTGTCAGCTTAATGTGAGAGGAAAGCCCGAAGTGATGCAGTTCTCAGAACGTTTACCACTTTGGTGAAACCCATGAGCACGACATGGTGCCGACAAACCTGGAAACATAATGGGGGCGAACCGGGAGTCGAACCCGTGCCTCCGATTTGAGTTAGTAATTTGTTCAGTCATAATGCAATGCGATGACGTTTTTCTGCCATTTCATCGTCAAAATAATATTTTCCCTGTCATTTAATGTATCTGGGTTGAAGTGACCGAAAACGCAACCTGTCTCTAACCGCCCTCACCCTCCCTGAACACTAAATGGTGAGTCCCTAATTTATAATTTAAACCATAATTAATTTAAACTGTTGTTTCAGTTTATTCATGGCTATGATGAATTCACTTACCATCCTGAATGTGCATTTTAACAAGAAAACCTGACGCAACTACAGGTCAATATACCAAATTATAGAGAAACGTTATATCAACCATAACATGGTTCACGTCGGAGAAATCACTAGAATATTGATTCCGGGATCACCATATTCTTATGACTTTACAGAAACAATAGTACAGTAAACTACGGTTATAACGAACTCAAAGGGACCACTTATTTTAGTTCGTAATAACCGTAGTTCCGGTTAGAAGCATATATAAAGCATATATGCAACAAATGACCGGGACTATAAAACATGTTCGTTATATTGGTAAGTTCGTTGTAAGCGTGTTCGTTATAAACGTAGTTTACTGTGTTGTGATTACAACATTCAAGTTCAGCAACATGCACAGAGGCGGATCCCGGATCACGAAGTAAACAAAGACACATAACGAATGGAGAATATGATGGCATGAGTTTCAATATGAGGACCCCAACACGTCTGATTCTGCTACTGATGCAACTGGCTAAATAGCTCTCATCTGTTTGTTTGCTATTTCTAAATATCATACTAAATGTAACATACTTACCGTGTCGGCCCGAAGAGAGAGTAGCAGTCACCTGCAATTCAGTCTGGCTCGGTTGTGCGGACGTTTCCACTCGTTGGAGGATTTCCGAGATGTTAGACAACAGCCCTGGTGAGCTGTTATGTGTCTGTGTGATAACGCGCGCAGAATTCAGTGTTTTCTCCACGAGTGTGTTAAACTTACATTAGCCAGATTTGTCTAACAAACTGTTTCTGGTTTTCGTATAAGTTTTGATACAAAACACCATCCGACTAATTTGGCGAAATTTAAGAAATTCAATTCAATGCTACTGAGAAGAGCATTATTGCTAAACAAATCGACAAATTGTTTGTTGTTTAACGCCGCACTCAGCAATATTCCAGCTATATGACAGCGGTCAGACAATCCAGTGATTGACATCTTGAGCATCAATCTACTCAACTGGAGAAATGCATCAACCTTGAAAGAATGGATTGCTGAGGGTACTTCGAATTCTAAGCGGGAATTTGTTGTGTGCGACTTTAATACCCCCATCACACCAAACTAGTTCTCAATACGTTCGTGAAAATGTTGTCGAACGGGCTCCAACTGTGTATGAACGTAGTGGACACTGTAGCAACTATTGACAGTCTTTTTACGAACTTCATGGACGGGCTCGGACGGGGAGGGTGCTCTAGAACTTTGATTCTGCTCAAAATTTTATCCCTTTCAATTAGTCGGATTGACAGCGTACTTAAAACGAGAAAGACGTATTATGAACAGAATTGCCGTACTTCGAACGGATTTGCCGTACTTCGAACTTACTAGGGACGTTTTACGACGTGGTGCAGTCGGACATAAATTTCAGTACGTGTGCACACCGACCCGGTCGACTTCTCTTTGGAGGCATGATGTGTACAGCTCGGAGCCCTGAACTTGAATGAAGACTGGCTACAACGCGCTCGGTATCCATAGTCGGGCCAGGAAACGAATACACATGCACTTGGGACGAGATGAGGACGTACTGCGAACGAGTTGGTCGTTAGAACTGGCTTGCACGTATTGTGAAAGAGGTAGAACGAGGTTGAACTGGTTAAGAACGGGTTGAGAACGGCTACGGACGTGCTCGAACGGCTTCGAAACGTTGTCGGGATGAGGTGAACAGGCACTTTTACATGATCTGAACTGGATACTGCAGACTGGCGTGGAACGAGATAAAAACGAGATAGACGTATTGAGGACTGCTCATGAACGAACAAACATCGTATTTTACGCCAAACTACGCGTTCTACCGTGATCACAGTCCGTTCTAGTATTTTGTATAGAACGGGGTAGAACGGGAAAGAACTACTTTGGTCTGATAGTAGCATAAACAACAACAGCCTCGATTGTTCACGTTCAATCACAGGATCAATCGATGCAGAATTGATTATTTACTGGCCGCCGGTATATAGCTGGAATATTGATGAGTGCGGCGTTAAACAAAAAAACAATCAAATCATTTGTGCAAGAAACAGCTGCACGGTCCACCCGTCTCTGATTCATCATCCTACTAAATCGGTGTGTTCTCTGGCTTCGCCATTAACTCGGTCAGATGGTTGTGTCACTTACGCCCGAGACAGCCGACATGATGAGGTCACTGTGCTCCAGAATGCAAAACAGGTATCTCATTTCGATAAGACAATTAGCAGGAGTAGTTGGCGACCTCGTCATCAGTTTCCCCGACGTGAAGTTTGAGTCACTTTTGAGTCACCCGTGAAGATCCGGGTGGAGAATAGGTCTTCAGCAACCCGTGCTTGCCGTAAAAGGTGACTATGCTTGTCGTAAGAGGCGACTAACGTGATCGGGTGGTCAGGCTTGCTGACTTGGTTGATGCATGTCATCGTATCCCATTTGCGTGGATCGATGCTCATGATGTCAATCACTGGATGAATCATATAGCTGGAATATTGCTGAGTGTGGCATAAAACAACAAACAAACTACTATCGTCAGTCGGACAATACCAAATCACGTGCTACACCAAGTCACGAGGGTCACAATTACGCCATATACCCTAAGGTGATCATCCTTCAGTCTCTGAAGCACGTGTGTGTGTGTGCACGCACGCACGCACGCACGCACGCACACACACACACACACTTACTATAATGAACTTATCGTGCAACCATTTGATTGTAGGGGAATTCTGTTAATACTGCTCCCTTGTGCGTGTGTTATTAAGATGGGTTTCAGATGACATTCAATTAACGCTTTCTGGTGCCTCCCACCCAAATTGATACGATAGTATGTTCCGATTCCTATATGCTGCACCGTTAGTCCGAAGCTACTGTAACTTCACCATGACCAAGACTTGAGTTGTCTTTGTTTGTTTGTTTATTTGTTTGTTTGTTTGTTGTTTAACACCGCACTTAGCAATATCCCAGCCCTATCACGGTGGTCTGTAAATAATTGAGTCTGGACCAGACAATCAAGTGATTGAAATCATGAGCATTGATCTACGCAATTGGGACACGATGACATGAATCAACCACGTTAGCAAGCCTGACCATCCAATCTCGTTAGTCGCCTCTTACTACATGCATGGATTGCTGAAGACCAATTCTAACCCGGAATCTTCGCGGGACATGGGTTGTCTTAACTGCCGAGAAAAAGAAAGTATACACCCATGTTTGATAGTAAAATGAAACAAACAAGCAATGGTTATTCGATTGTGATGTATTATACGGATGTCATTGTTGTGTTTTTTACCTTAATTTTGTAGTGTTTCGGCGACTGTTTTCAGCCTTGTAACGTTTTGATAATGCTTCAAGTTGTTATTTTTTTATCAAATCCAGTTTTCAAGTGTATATTTTCTTTGCCCGCCAGTTTAGTATGGATACTGAATTTATTTACCATATAAATAATCAGCAGAAATATATGCTTAATTCACGCTAATTGAACGCCTAAGAATAAAAATGGCAGAATATATATACAAAGAAAAAACTTAAACACACCCTTATATATTTCATTATTGTTTGGCCCCAATATTGGTAACAGTCATGAAAGATATAATTACGGGAAGAATTATGTTTTCTCGAGATGCATGGTATGCCCGTGCAGCATGCAACCCTCGAGTATCTCTAAGAGCAGTGTATCCAAACGTTAAAATTGCTTTCTTAAGCTCGGTTTTAAACAGTTATTACATGACATTGTGTTACCATGGCACGAAGACGATTGTTAAAAGCCACAAGATGGCAAATAATCGGCATGCATAACGCAGGAATGTCTTGTAATGCCATTGGTCGGAATTTGGGGTATCATCATACTGTCGTAAGCCGTTTAGTCGAGAAACATGCTCAGACCGGTGATGTACAGGACCGTTCCTGATCCGGAAGACCTCCTGTGACGACACATCGCGAAGGCAGGAACCTTCTTCGTCTCATACGCCGAGAATCCTTTTTAGCACTACTCGTCTGAAACAGCTGTGGTTGCCCAATCGTCGTTTCAGCACCAGAACCGTCAGGAACCGACTGAAAGCAGTAGGACTGAGGGCTAGACGAGTCATAAAGCGTCCCTTGTTGAGAGATCTCCACAAAGCTGCGCGTTTAGCATGGCGTATTGCGCGACAGAACTGGAATCTGAGAACTTGGAGACGGATCCAGTGGTCAGACGAAAGTTGCTTTCTGCTCCACGTAACTGATGGAAGAACGAGAGTTTGGAGGCACCGGAACACGGCCTACACCCCCAGGAACATTAAACCGACTGTTGCATGTGGCTGGGGCTCGGTGATGTTTGGAATATTCTGGGGCGGTGCATACAGGCACGAGATCCTCCTGTACAAGGTTTACGCCAATTGGAAGCAGCATTGCATCAGGAGTGGTTGTTGACGACCTATAAACAGATCCAACGTCTGACTGGAGGCATGAGACGTAGGGTGGAATGCGTCATCCGGGCATGTGGCGGTTATACCCGCAACTGATCTGATTCACGTGTCATGTCAAGTAGAGACTTTAAGGAACATTTTCACATGAAACATGAAACGTAACTCGTTTACTTAATCCCGCAGCTCCATACTTTTTTTAGTTTTTGTCTAAGGTCAAAAACAGTACCTGTGTTACCATGATGTTTTTGTCAGTAAATTTCAATCACAACTCACCAATATCTTCTTTATTTGTTGTCAAATGTTTGTTCTATCCGATGACATTGGTATCGCGCAGCTCCTGTGGTCAGTCGTCCCATGCCATGATTTCTGCCATTTGACATGGTTCAGAAATAGGGGTGTGCTTTTTTTCTTTATGTAATTCTTTATCTTCGATGCCTGTGTCACTATTGAAACTCAGAAAGAAGTAAACACATACGATATGACCTTTGAGCATATATGATGTATGTTTCCTTGTTATTTCTGATGTAAATATCATCTCACATCTCGTAAAATGGAAACATCACCAGGACAACGAAGACGTTCATTATATCGGTATGGCCACATTTGAATAGAGAGAGATCGCATCACACTTTGAGCACACATCCTTGAAGATATATCATCGTGAATAAAAGACAAAACTTGTAAACCAAGCTTCCACATACAAAACTGTAAAGGAACACATGTTTACGATGTTGTATATTCAACGAGCCTCAAAGAACAACCTGATATCACAAACACCATAGCAGTATTTTTTTATCGATTTTAGAACCTTTTATGAATGTTACAGGACATTAATTTTCACAAATTGCAATGGGATTTATTCGAGATTCGTCTCCCCTATCCCACGGAAATGGTTAAAAAACGTTTAAATCATTGTGAAACGTTCTCGTTATTCTATTGATTTTGTTCTTGTAACAACCTGCACGAAGTAGGTTTATCAGACTGATGACGGTGTGGCGCTCGCTCACATGCCGGGTTTGTCTGACACTGGATACGTTTTCAGCATCATAGATACTTTCAATACATTAAAAGATCGGGCTTTTAATGGGGTGTGTTTGCATTTTCAATTTCACATATACACGCGGTCCTACAGGCTATAATATCCTATAATAACCATTTGATTGTAGGGGAATTCTGTTAATACTGCTCCCTTGTGCGTGTGTAATTAAGATGGGTTTCAGATGACATTCAATTAACGCTTTCCGGTGCCTCCCACCCAAATTGATACGATAGTATGTTCCGATACCTATATGCTGCACCGTTAGTCCGAAGCTACTGTAACTTCACCATGACCAAGACTTGAGTTGTCTTTGTTTGTCTGTTTATTTGTTTGTTTGTTTGTTGTTTAACACCGCACTTAGCAATATCCCGGCCCTATCACGGTGGTCTGTAAATAATTGAGTCTGGACCAGACAATCAAGTGATTGAAATCATGAGCATTGATCTACGCAATTGGGACACGATGACATGAATCAACCACGTTAGCAAGCCTG